ACAGGTGTAACAACCTATAAAGATGAATGATATAACCTGCAGAGAAGGGCACAGTTTTAGTGTTTTGCTGAAAGGCACTGATGTAGAGAGTGAACTTGAAACCAGATACTAGAAATCCTATGCTTTGGCTTGCCAGCTGGCACCTTTGTTGTTCAAGTATTTTAATGAAAAATTCCTTTCCTTGAAGTTTTTTTCTCTAAGCATTGTGAATTCAAACATAAAGAGCTATTTTGGTGTCAGAAAAGGGAAAAGTGGTACATTTTTCTGCTGTAACAACTGTCTACCATATCAAAGTTGGTGACTGAAGATATATTGTAACCATTTGATGTCTATTGCATCAGTGAATCATTTTCATCATAACATACTAATGAGGGAACAAGTGAACAAAGCCAGTTTGGCCTGTTACTAATGAACAATGATGCAATTTCTTCAGATTCTGAAAGAGATGCTCCAGTGTTGGAACCAGAAGCCGAACATGCACAGAGACTGGATGATGATGTGTCTCAAGGACCCCCTGATCTTCCAGTGGAGCCCACACATCCTCAGAGGACAACCAGATCATCGTCATCGTCTTCTGTGTCTTTAACGCCATCAACGCCTGCTTCTGCACCAGGCGCTCTGCAATTTAAGCTGAAAACAGACCCAAATAGTGGCAAGTCTAAAGTGTCTTTCCAGCTGAGAAGGAGCCTCCGCAATAATGCCCTGAAAGTGGCTGATGATGAGGACAATGAGGAAGAGGCGAAAATCGCTGAGGATAATGCCAAAGGTCCTGGAGAGGCCGTAGAAGTTTTGGAGAAAAAGGCGGCAGATGAATACGTACCCACGAGATTCAAGGTTGCCAAGAAGCATGACATGTTTCGGCCGGACATAGTGCCTACCAATGTGACGGTTGTTTTCAGCTCGGCTGGTATAGGTGGTGGTGGGCCGATCGTTGAACCAAGTAGTCCAGCACCTAGACTTGTCCCTCAGCCCCCTGCTCCAACTGGGGCAGAACTACCTACCTCAGACGATTCAGGTCACAAGCCCCTTGGTGCTCTTGTAAATGCTGGAGAAGAGGTCAAGACATCAGAGAAAATTGATGGAGACACGAGAGGAAAGGGAGGAGATGAGAAAGAGACAAGCTCTGTTACTGTCAAGGAAGGTCAGGAAGTTACAGATAGGGAGAGTGCTGGGCAGGATAGTAGAACTGATCAAGATTTGTCCCGTGATGAGCGCCGAAGCAAAAGGTCAGATACAAGGAAAGATTTGGAAAGGGGGAGTAGCAAGGAAGACAAAGCTGACTCTCCTTCTCAGCACAATACGAGGCAAAGAAAGAGAGAAGAGAAAAGTGAAAAGAAAAAGTCCGACCGAGATGATGATGATGGAAGAAGAAAACGCAGGGAAAGTAGAGACAGGGAGGAGGAGGAGAGACCCCGGAGGCAGTCAACAAGATCTTCGTCGAGGTACAAGAAAGATGTAAGTGATGATGAAAGCAAAGATTATGATAAATACAGCGGTAAGAATCGGCGTTCTAACAGACAGAGCAAGAGAGATAAAGAAGAGGATGAGGACAGGGTTGATAGTGACACAGTGCAGAGGTCTTCTAGAAGACGGCAGGAGGATTCTCCAAAGCGCTCTCGGTCTCGAGGTAGCCGGAGGCAGAGCAAAAGTCCTAGTCGAGAACGAAAGCGCAAAAGTGTCAGCCCAGTTCATGACAGGGTTTCAAGGAAATCAGAAAGTGGGAGGGGTGGATCAAGAAAATCTAGTCCTGGCGGTCGCCGAAGAAGTGACAGTAGTGATGGAAGTGAAGAGAAAGAAAAATCTGAGAGGAAAGAAGATACTGTAGATGAATCGGGTGACGGTAAAAGTGAGAAGCAAGTCAAAAAGATTGTTCTTCAAAGGTCCCGAAATTCAGGTGATTTTGTAGTAGCTGAAAGCAAGCTTGGGGAAAATGAGGATAGCAGAAGTAAAGTTGACAAAAAGGAGGATGATGGCCAGACTCCTTCTGAAGAGGTAAAGGCTGGTGATAAAAAGGAGGAAGGCTTTAAAAAAAATGTGGAGGAGGAGGAGGAAGTCTCAGAAAGGAAAAAAGGAAGCAGTAAAATGTCTTCTCCGAATGATAAAGATTCTCATGAAAGTATTGCTCAGGCTCAAGACCAGGTGAGAGTGAAACAACAGAAAGAACTACCTGCAGAGGAAAGTAAAATGGTTGACAAAGCATGTTCTGATAAAAAGGACAAAAAACTGCATAGAAGAGACAAAACAAAAAGGCACTCATCCTCAACTGAAGAAGAGGAAGACAACGAGGAGTCAAAACGACGTTCTCTTAGAGGTCAGGCTCGAGGCGAGAAGAAAGAATTGGAGAAAGTAAAACATAAGAACTCTCCAGAGGAAAGAAAAGAAGGAAATGATTTAGTTACTGATAAAAAGGGGGGGAAAATGGGGGAAAAGTCAAAATCAAGACACGACTCTTCTTCTTCATCAGAGGAAGAGAATGTCTCCAGAGAGTCAAAACGTCTTTCACTTAGAAGTCAGTCTCGTGATGGGGAAAAGGAACGTGAGAAAATGGGAAGAAGGAGAGAAAAGTCACCTGTAGAAGGTAAAGCGATGAATGATGCAGTTGTTGATGAAAAGGAAAGAAAACTTAAGAAGAAAGACAAAGCAAAAAGAAGGTCATCTTCCTCTGAGGAAGAGAAAGATGATGGAGGGTCAAAAGCACATTCACGGAAAAGTCGACACAGAGAAGAGGTATCCCCTGAGCAGGTCCCCGAAAAGGCAAGTGCAAGCAGACAAGGTTCTTGTGCTGATGTGGACATGAGAGATGATAACGGGGGTGGTTCTGAGGCTAGAGTTGTTCCAGAATCTGAAGGAAAGCCCTCCCATCAGCTGATCCCCAAGCAGGTGTTTGAGCCGGCGCTTCCACCAGAGCAGGTCTTGGTTGATGTTTCCGCCCTTCCTGGCAAGAGTAAATGGGAGCTTGATGAGGAAGAAGAGGAACAGCAGAGGCTGGGAGGTGGGAGGAGGTCAAGATTTCATGATGCGTCTGAGTATGTTGAGCCTGTGCGGAGGTTTGAACGAGTTGTTGCACCTGTCGAGGTTGAACGTAGCTCCCGTTCAGGCGGGATGGAGTGGGGGGGTCGCGTGGGTGGGATGCGAGTGGGTAAAGTGCGAGAGAGCAGTAGCAATGAGGAGGAGGTAACTCATGAGCTGAAGAAACAGAAAGAGAAGAAAAAGCACAAGGTAAAGAGCAAGTCGGAGAAGAAAGCAAAGAAGAAGAAAAAGAAGCAGGAGGAAAGTGGGGAGGAGTCTCAGAAAAACCTCGAAGGTGATAAAGAGATGGTGCAAGATACTGAAGAGAGAGAAGAGCAAGAGAAAATGGAGGAAAGCAAAAGTCTTGAAGTCAAGAGTGAGACCAAGGAGATCAGTGAAGAGGAAAAAGTTCATTCGGTCAAGAAATCTGGAGGAACAAGTAAGATAGTGGATTATCTGAAGGGTTATAGTGAAAAAATGGTGACAGATGCCTCACAAGAGGAGAAGCCAGAGAGTGTGCCTGAAACTGAGGTTGATTCCAAAGCCAAAGAAAAAATAGAAGTAGATGAGAAGACAGATGTTGAGAAGTTAAAGACAGAAGAAGAGAAAGTATTTAATTCACCTAGTCCAAGTGAAGTGGAGGGTGATAAAAAAGAGATTCCCTCCGTAGATAAACAGCAAGATTCAAATATTTTGTTGCCTCCTAATAAAAAAGTAGATAGAGAAACTGAGGAAAAAGACCAAGTAGAATGTTCAACTGACAATGCTGTTATTATCGGCACAGAGGTCTCAGATGAGAAGCCACATGTTGAGCAAAAAGCAGAGAACAATCAGGAAGCTGAGGTGAATGATATAATTGTTGATGTTGGGGTTGATTCAGGCTTAAGTGGAGATAAAACCAACCTTACTGAAAAAGAAGGTTCGATTGTTAAGGCAAAGGAATTGCACTCTAAAACCAGAGTTGAAGAATTAGTACAGAAGGAAAGGGTGAGATCTCTTTCAAAAGATCGGAGTGAACGATCAGACTCAAAATCTTCTCAGAGAAGCAGAGAAAGGCGAGAGAGGTCGAAGTCATCAGACAGGTCAAAGTCTTCAGAAAAATCAAAAAGGAGTAATAGGGCCAAGTCACGGTCAAAGTCACTGTCTCCTGGACGATCAAGACGTGGGAACCGAGAAAAGTCTCGATCATTCTCCCCGCAACGTTCAAAGAAAAGTAAGAGAGGACAATCAAGGTCTCCAGAGAGGCGGAAAAGGAGCAACAGAGAGAAGTCACGGTCAAAGTCTGTAGAGCGTTCAAAAAGAAGTAACAGGGAAAGATCCAGGTCCCCATCAGAGACTAAGAGAGTCTCCAAGAGATCTCAGTCTAAATCTCCTAAGAGAAGTGGGCGTGATCGGAGAGATAGGTCAAGGTCTCTATCCTCAGATCGGCGGAGACGTAACAGGAGGTGGCGATCCAGGTCGCGATCAAATGAAAGATATCGTAAGCAAAGAAGTCCAGATATCTACGGCAGACGGGACAGAGACAGGTACAGAAGGGATCGCTCCAACTCTGGTGAGAGGCGTCGCCGTAGATGGGGCAGTGAAAGTGATGAGAGGGAAAGTTCTCGCTCCGTGCGAAATCGCAGACAAAGGAGTACTTCGCGAGACTCTGATGTGCAGGAAATTGGTTCTCAGCCTGGTATATTAGAAAAGGGGAAGGCAAGCAAAGAAACAATTGTTGTGGAGGATGATGAGGATCAAGTGAGTGCCATTGACATTGCTTCCATACCTATACCTGGAGAAATTCCTTTGCCTGGTGAGACATCTGTAGACACAAAGAGTAAGGAAGTTCAGCAATCTTCTGCGCCAAATGATGGTCTTGTAGATAACCTCGAAGATGCCCCTATGGATATTTCAGATGAAGAGGAAAGATGCGAAGATGTTAAGGAAAAGAACGAAGGCTCTGTCATCATTAGGCCTGAAAACGAGCAGGAAAAAGATATAGCCAACAAAAGTTCAGCCGTGAGCTTGGCTGTGAAGACACCTACTAATGTTTCACAGGTGGAGAAACGTTCAAACTTGGCTGTTAATCCCTCTGGAAAAGAGAGACAGATCAAATTTTCCTTTTTTGGAAGCAGTAAGAAACTGAAGCCTGTGGTTGCCACAAGTATACTGGATGATGATGACAGTGTGGTGGAGAAGAAATCAGCCATTAGTCTACTGGATGTAGAAGAGACCAAACAAACCTCAGAGAGCCGTGTATGTGTTGTGGAGCAGGAAAATGTGGCCAAAGCTGCAGACAATCCAAATAATAGTAACTTGGAAAATAATCTAAAGAACGTAGAAAAATCAGCTGCTGTGAAGGAGGGTTTTGATGAGCCAGAGGTGGTTTCAAAGAATTTAACATCAAAGACAATTGATGAGGAAAGTAGTGCCACGAAGGAAAAAGTGTATTTAGAGGCCAGTGGAGTACCAGACCTTCTCGTGTCCAAATCTGAGGCTAAGACAAATTTATCTGTTCCGTTGGAGGATCTCTGCCAGCCACAGGAAGAGGATACGGAGGAGGTTAGCTTGTTAAGTGATCATGAAGATTCCAAGGTGCCAAACTCTTCCGACATGAAAACTGAAGAAGCTGTTAAGGAAGAGGACTCCCCACCCAAGAAGCTGAAGTTCAAGTATGTTCCATTGTGGGAGATGGAGGGTGAGAACAAAAAACCCCAGGCTTTGCTTGAGGAGGAGGAGAAACTAAAAAAGTCCAAACACCCTCTTGGGCTGGCTTTGGATTATGACAGTGAAAGCTCTGATGAGGAGGGTCAGAAAGAGGGAGAGAAGATGTCAGCATCTCTTCTCCAGAATACTGCTAGTAATGAGAAGACGCGAGAAACGCCAAGTGGGACTGATGATGTGAGGTCCACAGAGATGCAAGGCAAGGCAGATACAGGAGTGCTGAAAGAAAGATATGGCAAAACAGATGCAGTGATAGTAGAGATAAAAGAAAGTAGAACTGTAAAAGAAGTGAAAGGACATGTTTTAGAAGAGGCAAAATTAACTGAAACAACAGTCACCACTCAGATGGGGATGGGGGAAAAAGATGTTGGCATGAAGAGAGAAATGCACAAAGACGTAGAAATGAAAGATGATATTTTAAAGGACCAATGTATAGATGCAGAAAAAGATAGTTCTTTGAGTGTTGATGTGAAAGACAATGTACATGTGAATGTGAAATTAGATAAAAGTAGTAAAGAAGGAGAGGAAGAATGTGTAGCCCTTGATAGGGGAAATGAACCTTATTCACCATCTCAGTCAGATGTAGAGGAGCCGTATTCACCTTCCTTTCCTTCCATGGAAGATTTAGATGGTACTGGTCCAAGTATAGAGCATAAACCATTGAAGTTTGCCCCAGGACAAGAGGACAAAGAGGAAAAGGGACACACTCCATTGTCAAGTGATGTACAGGTCTCTACTGCAGCTCTTTTACAACAAGCTGTGAAAACTGCTGGATTGTCTAGTGCATCGGTATTAGGTGGTCCATCTGCTTTGCTACAAGGGGTAGCTGGTGTGTTCCCACCAGTGATAGGGACTGGCTCTGCAGGGCTGCAGACATTCCCACAGCCCGTGGCTCCAGTGATGTTCCCATTGACAGGTGTCCCGAAACCTGTCCCCCCTCCAGCTGTCCGTGGGATAGCCCCATTGATGGGGCAGACTCCAGCCCCAGTGCCCCCTCCACTCGTTGTTGGGGGAGTTCAAGTTCCAGGCCAGGTGCCTGCCCCAAGTTCTATAGGGATCCAGACCCCAGGCCTTGTGCCCCCTCCGGTCGTCCCGGTTCCAGCCCCAGGGGTTAAGTTCTCAGGTGTGGGAACTATTCCAGCGTCCACCGTTCCCCAGCCTGTGCCTCCCCCTCTCCTGCAGTCTGCAGTGACTGTAGCCCCAGGTGTGCCAAGCCTTCCTGTTGGATCTCAAAGCACTGGGTTGTTGAGCACTTCTGAACCAGTCAACTGGGGTGCTCAGGCAGCCTCAGTTCCTCCACCTGGTCAGCCCATCGGTGCTGCTGTAGTACCAGCTCCCCCATCAGTATCGGCAGTTTCTGATCTTATTCCTACTACCCAAGGACAGGTGACAGGTGTAAGCCCTGCTGTGATCCAGTCAATGGGCACAACATCTGCACCAGCTGCTGCCGCCCCAGTCAGGTTCCGCGTGTCTCGCTTCCATCAGGGTCCTGCTGCTGGGGTCACGGGAGTGGTTGTGCCGCCACCCACTGTGTCTGTTCCCAGCCTGCACACCCCAGCCACTGTCCCCCCTGTATGGGGAGGGCCTGGCATGGTCAGCATTGACACTCCATCAGTGACGACGGGAGATACCTCTACAGTATCAAAGTCACAGCAGAGCTTAGTCTCAACCAAGTCTGCTGTGGTACCATTGAAACCAGCAGTCAGTATCTCAACTGGTAGTAAGCGGCCTAAGTTCACATCTATTCTGTCTCAGCCCAAGATTGAAGACCCATCAGTTCTTCAGTCACTGGGAATAAAGCCTGCTGTGAAGACGCTGTCTAAAGAAGTAATAAGTAATCCACAAGGCAAGACTGTAGAGGTTACAAGCACATCCACAGAGAGGTTGAGTGCTATTTTGAAGGAACAGTCTCTGTCGCTTTCTGAGGACTGTAAAAAAGACAGCCCTGATATTGCCACACTAAGTGGGGTACCTGTTGAACCGTTCCAGATAAAGTCTGGGCTTGTTGATGAAATCAGAACTGTGGAGAAAGATCCAAAGAAGTCTAGTGACTCCTTGAAAGATATGAACACTGAGAGTCATACTATAGACGAGAAAACAGAGCTGTCAACCACTAAAGACGAGGGTACAGCTCGTGATGGTGGAAAAGTTTTGAATGTTCCAAAACCAGGCCTAGTGCTCACCATTAACCAGGTGGAGAGACAGGCAGAGGTGATGGAAGCCTCATCTACTCTCTATGACATTGACACTGACAGTATACCATTGCCAGGTGTCGAAGCAAAGCCACCAATGACTCAGACCCCTGCTCCCCCTGCCCCCTCAGGGAATATATTAACTGAGCAACTGTCACAACCTCCACTCCCGGTGCAGCCGGCTGTTACTTCTGCCCCACCCTTACCCGAAAGCCCAGCTCCACCACCACCTGTCCAACCACCTCTTCCGGCCCCAGAGGAGGATGTGACTCTTTCTTCTACGGCAGCAAAGAGTCAAACGCCAAACACTGCAGAAAAGAATAAAAAAGTTTATCAGTCCCCTTTGGCCATAGGTTTGCTACCGAAGGTGACAAGCATTCAGTCACCTTTGTCCATTGGCCCATTACCAACGGTCCCACCAGAGCGTCCGGCCTCTCAGTTGTCCTTTCCATTAAAACAGAAACTGTCTCAAATCAGTTTTGGTAACAAGATGAAAAAAAGTTCTGGGGACAAAGATGAAGATATGAAAGGCAACCAAAGTCAACAGGGCTCCTCCGCTTCTAAAATTCACATAGTGCTGAAGAGCAAGTCAGCTGTACAGAAAACTGTGGTTCCAGGCTTTGAAGATGAAGGCAGTGATGATGGGTCAGCTGGTGACACGCTGGCTGATATATTTTCAGATGGGGAGACACTTCAGAAAACTAACAGAGAGGAAGAGCAGGAGCAGCTTTTATCTTCTGATCATGCTGCAAGGGCGTCCGAGGTTGAAGTGTCAACAGGTGCTGTCTCTAGAAGTAAAGTAGATGAGACTGCTTTCTTGTTGGATTCGTTGCATAGTGTGAGTGGTTCAGCAGAAGCATCTTCTGGAACTGAGGTAAACAGTCATGGGTCAAAAGGTACTACAGTAGTTGATGTGGAGGCTTTCCCAGTGCAGGTGATCACAAGCTCTAGGAAACAGGAAGAAAGCTCAAGTACTGCTTGGCCAGAGTTCACTGCTGGGGAGAGCAAAGGGAAGGAAGCCGTACCAGAGAAAGAGACTGCAGACAGGGATGACTCCAGGGACAGCAAAGAGAGGTCGCGAGATCGTCACAGGAACAGGGATGATAGCCGAGATGATGGGAGAAAGAGAGGTGATGATAAAGATCGTAGGAGGGCTGACGATAAGAAAAAGAAGTACAATGATGGAGATGACAATGATGAAGAGCAGAGAAGTAGCAGGAGAGGTGATGTTGCAGAGGAGGAGAGAGGACTAGTGAAAATAAAGAAAGAAAAGGATGATGGGTCATACTATGGTAAAAAGCGAAGAGAAGATGAAAAAGGTGACAGCTATTCAGAGAAGAAGTCCGAAAGAAGAAGGGGAGATGATGAAGACTACAGTCGAACAAGAAGACGAAAAAGAAATGATGAAGAGGATTATGATGATAAGTCTGGTAGAGGAAGGGAGGAGGATAGCAGAAGAAAAAGTCGTGAGAACAGGGATGACGACAGAAAGAGGAGGCGTTATGATGAAGATGAGGAAGATTCTCGTAGGGGTCGCCGCTTTGAACGTGACAGAAGTCGTGAACGGGACAGGAGCCGTGAAAGATCAGGACGGGGTGATCGTGATCGCAGCCGTGAGAGGGATCGTGGCAGCAAGTCTAGCCGCGGTGGCTTAAAACGAAGTCGACGATCAAGAGAAAGAAGCCGCAGCTCCAGCCCACCCCGCAAGAGAGAACGCAGCTGGGACAGGTGAGAGGAGTGTTTTTGTTATTTCAACTTTAGTTGTCTGTATTTCAACTCAGTTGTCTTTTTTCATGTTCTTTCACTTCCATCTCGTTATTGCTCTATTTTTTCTTGCACTTTACCTTTTTTTGCTTTTGTTAGGTAGTGATTTAATAAAATCTTGCTATTTGAACAATTCTGTGATCATGGGTGGTTGGCGGGTGCTCTGATATGGTTTGTTCCTTCTCTCCTATCAAACATCTATAGTTCTTCTCTCTCCTTATTTGTTACTGTCTTGAACTTACATGACGTAATTGTGTTACAAGTGTAGTAAAACTTTTACTTAAAACGAATCTGTGATCTGAACTTCTGTGTACAAATCTGTGTTCTGAACTACTGCATTGATTATATGATATTTCAAAAACTGAACTGAACTACCCATGAAATAATTCTGTCCTTGAGGCTCCCTGATTTATAGGGGAGGGGGGGGGGGATTACTTACAGGCTCAGCTTTCAAATTTAAAAAAAAATTAATGTTATGCAAATTGCATGTCCCTGTTACAAATTGCATAAATAAGGCATGTTACCATGTTTCAAGCAGATATGCTTAGCTTTGAGAACCGATAATTGAATTAATGTGACATAGATATCTTGTCGTTGCTCCGACTTTTCCAATTTTCATGGATACACATTTTGGTACGGATGACTTTTTCCTGTTGACTGTTGCAGTGAAGGGGCATTTCTACAGGCTGCTTTATTTTTAGTCTTCTACCTATGTCTGATTTTGAGCCTTTGAGCCTTGTTGATGTTAAGTTAAACTTTTTTAATTTGAACTTTTGCAGGTATGAGAGGAACCGTAGTCGAGATAGAAGCCAAAGTCGCAGCCCAAGTCGTGATAGAGATAGGAAAAATCGCGATAGCAGGGGACCAAGCTCCCGCAGGAAAGAGGGCAAGTCTTTCAAGGATGAACTCCTGGATGAGTTCAAGAAACTGGATTCAAAGTCAGGCTCAGGCAAGACGGGAGCCCAGGATGATCTTTTTAAGGTGGCAGCAATTGGCTCATCTGCATCGAGTTCTTCTCTGTCCTACATTTCTGATGCTAGTATGATTCCATACCCAGGCGAGCCTGTGCAAGCTTATCAGGGTGACCCCAACTACCCCGCCGACCCGTCCTTGTATCCAGTCCACCCAACTCCACAAGTCCAGGCAACGGGGACAGACATGGTGGGAGCGTACCCCGGTCAGGATGCAGCCTATAGCTCTCAGTATTCTGGGTCCTATGACCCCCAACTGTATGGCAGCACTCAACCGTCCTGGCCTCAGTCTGGACTGCACCAGGAGATACCCTCACAAGACCAGGCCCAGATGTATCCTCCGCAGGTGTCGGAGCACCAGCAGTATCCGTTCCACAGCCAGCAGCCGCCGCACCATCCTCAGCAGCCACAGCATCTCCAGCAACAGCAGCAACACATGCATGTGTACCCCCCTCAGCCACCACCCATTTCTCAATACCAGGGTCAACAGCAACCCCAAGACATGTACCAGCCTAACCAGCTACCCCCCGTGGCTCCAATGGCACCAGGCAGCCCACTCATTCACACCAGTACAGACCAACAGCCTTATTCTGCTGCTCCAGCTCCCCACAGTGCATCACTTTCATCATCCTTAGTCTCATCTCTGACTTTGTTAAGCAACCAGCTCTCCCAGCAATCGGGACATTTTAGTGGAACACCCGGAGGCCCCCCAAGCTTCCCCAAAGAAACACACTCTCAGTTTTCTGCCCCTGGGGGCAGCAACTCCACCCAAGTGACCTTTGAAATGACCCCAGGCGCTGGCATTCCTTCCCCTCAGGCTCGAGGACCCCTTCTCAAAACCCCTCTCCTGCCTGTCCCAGGCACACCTCCAAACTCATTTGGAAGCTCTCATTTCTTTTCTCCTGTCCCTCAGTCTGATCCGAAGGTCAGCAAAAAGCCAGTGTTCAGTGTACCTTCTGTGACCAGCAGCTCTTCTCCTGCTCATGGGAGTCCAGTGCTTAAAGCTGTGCCGTCCACTTCTAGTTCGCCGGCTATTGACTCGTCGACACCTCGGTCTGGGCGACGCAGGTCCACTCGCTGGGGAGCCCCTCTTACAGAGGAGCCATCCTTTGAGACATCTAGTCTAGCCGAACCAGTAGATGTTTCTGACAAGGATAGCTCTGTCAAGCAGAAGCCATCTGTGCGGGCTGAAAGTAAAGTGGTTGAGGCTGTGAACGAGTCAACCGTGTCTTCGTCTGGTGTTGAGGACAGTACAGGGGACACTGGCAGTGACTCTGGCACAGATACAGTCCACAAGCCTCTCAAAGTGAGTTCCTTACTGGTAACTTGGTTCTTAATGTCCAAGAGATAGATTTGAAGAAGTTGTTGATCACCTAATCACCTAATTTGGATTTGCCATGTAGGGGGGGGGGGGGGGGATTTTTTGCAGAAAGGAACATTCTTCAGCTTGCTAATATATTTTATATCTTTTTACAGTTTCTGTAAAAAGGGTTTCAGAGCGCCATTAAACAGTAATTTGTATTGGTAATTACTGTTGGTCCCGGGGTTGCTTATAAATCTATGATATATATATATATATATTGTATGTGAAAGTTCGTCACTTCGGTCACCTAAAACTTCCGTACCACTTAACTTTCGAATTTGAAAAAATTAACGGTAGTTCAGAATCATTTAAAGGGTGCAGTTATATTAAGGAGTCTGAAGTCACAGTAGTTTAATTTTCAGTTTTTTATCAGTTTCATTTAGATTTAAACTTGGAAAAGTCCGTCTTTTGCCATTGTACAGAAGTGAGGCTTCTGTTCACAAGCAGCGCACACTGGTTCCCCATTGACTTGAGGATCGATTCTTTTGAGTCTGTTCATCGAACGGGTACCCAGCTAGTTACATATTTACAGTTAACCACCATTACAGTGGCCGTTCCCTATCTTTCACAAGGGACCTGCTGGGTCGGGAGTGGTCACCCCTCGCCCAGTGCTAACCCCTGATTGAGGGCTTAATTCTCCCAACTGGTGAAGCACCTCTCAAAAATGTCATGCCCTCCTTGAATTTAGGGGTAACACCTTTCCTTTGTAGGCCTATTATTGTTTTCGTCCAGATTTCTTTAATACTAAAAGATCCTGTAAACATGTACAACAATATACTACAGAAATATCTCAGTATTGGCTGCCTTTGAAGTCGCCTGTTTGTGTCCAGTAAAGCAGGGCTTGGGACACAAACAAGAATCTTGTTCATTTCCAGTTCTTAATGACCCTTGTGTCTCCTTCAATTCAGACTCAGACTCCCTCAGCTGTTGTTTTTATTTACTATTTTTAAATTTCAGTTTACTGTGTCAGGGGTTCTGAGCCAATACTTTGTATTCCTCCAGTATGCTGTTATGTCAACCTCACGTCATGAGTATTACTCACTTGATCATTGATATTGATGCTTTTTCAATTTGTCTCTCAGACATGGTTTCTGAGGAGGAAGGCTTCTTTTTAATTATGCGTGTGGGTAATAAAACTAGTTTACTGTGAATGATTGTTTTAATGAAATTCTATCCCTTCTTTCATGATTGGCTGTGATGCACAAGCTTCATTGACAGCATAACATGATTGCTCTCCTGTGCCACTGCTTTTCTTCCATATGTCTTCAAAAGGCTTTTTGAGATGGATGGTTGGAATGTGGATTATAATAGCTTCTCAAGTTGATATAACATGGAAAGCAGTCTCAGGCTTCAGTCCAGCTCAGCAGAAGAGTAAGGCATGTTGGCTTGGACACCGAAATGACGTAATTTTCAAAAACCACAACTTGTGTCCTTTGTAGTTTTAATGGATTGAGCACTGCATAACTGTAATTTGTTAATTTTCAAAAAAAGGATGCAATACTGTGTGCATTCAAGATTAACTATGGTTTTATACAGCAGCTATGTGTTCAGTGATTATTTCTACATCTGTGTACCACATTTCTTCATTCAAGAAAATGGATGTGGATGGCTGGAGGGCCCAACAGGTAGGTCTTACTTTTTTTACTTTTCCTTTGTTGTTTCTGTCTGTATGTGTCTTACTTTTTCCAAGCACTAAATGACAGTTATTGTGTCGATATGCTTCTTTTCACTCAAACTAAAGAAAAGGAAACATTGTTTGACCAGGTGAAGTCACGTTGGCGCAGGAACAGCGAGGCAGAAGCTGTGGGAGCGGATACGTCCACCCCTCCCCTCTCCTCAGAGACGCCTGCCCCTCCCATGCCTCTGGCTAAACAGCTGCTGACTCGCACCTCAGTGGCTGCCTCCAGCCCTGCCTCAAGCCCAACGCCTGACTCCTCCCCGCGGGAAACGCGACGGACAAGGTCTAAAGCAACCTTGGTGCAGAAACTGGCTGATGGCACTCCACCACCACCCCCTCCAGCACAGAAGAGATTGAAAGGGGAAGAGGAAGCCAATACTGACAAGGTGAGAAATACTCAAATAGTACCAGAAATCCAGTAACAATTTCATTAATGTAAAACTTTTAAAAGAAAAGTCCGGTTATGCCAGATAATATCGACCAGACTACATCATTGTTCTTTGGTTCAGGCTCACGTTGTCAAGGATATCATCTTTTTAATTCATAATAACAGTTCCTGCGTTTTTATCATTTTTTATTTTTCAAGCTAGAGAAGGTGGTTGGTGTAACGTAATTTGTTTGTCAATGTTTGCCCCAATTAAAAAAAAAAATCCCTGAAGAGGTGAGCGAAATGCTGGCATTGGTATGGGAGGGCATAAGAAACTTGTCATGTTCTTGCCATAAACTCTAGCTATTTATATGTTTTCATCATATTAGATGGTACTGGTGGAAACGTCAGCAGTTGAAGAGGTTACTAACAAGGAGAACGAAGAAAAACGGGACCTGGCCAGTATAATAGCTCGACCTGACTTTCCCAAGTTTGAAATCATCACAGAGAATATTCATCTCACAGAAAGGTATGTCAAGTTAAGCTGTATTTGTGGAGAATCTGGGCGCTGGTAACAACTCTGGTTTTTGCTGGTATTTGTGCTGTGTGATTTCCCTGTGTAAGAGTGATTCACTTCTGAAGTTGTGGGTGCTTGGTGGGTGCTCTGGTGTGGTTTGCTTCTTCTTTCCTATCAAACATCTATCATCTTTATCTCCCCTTCGTCTTTTTTGTGCTTGTTACTCTCTTATAACACCTAATCTTTGGCACTTTTATGGCCTCATTGTGTTGCAAGTGCCGTAAAACACTTACTAAAACTAAAACTAAACTTCTGAAATTCACAATAGATGTTGATCAGCATGATCTTTTCAGAAAATTGGGAGTTTGTTTTGTTCTGTGATACAGGCAGGTTACTGATAGTGTATGAAGTAATAGTTAAAGGTTTATGTGCTACCTGGACAAGTGTTACTAAATGGCGTTCTAGACACTAAGGTTCTGTCTTTACTCATTGTATGTACACTGCATTTTGCTCACAGGAAAAGGTCAAAGAGTATGAAGAGAATGCAATGCGACTGCACAACATCACGAGAAGACCGAGCCATGGGCATTGAACCCTGTGGCTCTGACTGTCTGAATAGAATGCTCATGATAGAGTGGTAAGTCATATCTTTTAGTAAAAACGATTTCTGTATAGTACTAGCATAGGTCATGTCACAAGTAGAAAGTGCTGGTAAATTTCGTATAAATTTAAATGAAACTGGGCTTCTTTTTTCTGTGGATCAAGTTCTTCCCATACAAGGAGATGTAGTGTAAGTTATAAGAATGCCAGTTTGAAGATGTGTAAAATTGAGATGTTTTCGGAATAATGTAACTTGGTGTTGCGTTTTTACTTTTTTAAAATACTGTACTTCAGTTAGGGGGATAATTCTTGAAATGTGATGACAGAACATTTTATATTTATTTATTTTCTCACTTCGTGACCGAAAGATACATCTCTTTGTCTCAGAAATGCGTCTAAGGTTCAAATTCATGCATGAATGTGAAACTGCCATTGTCAGTTGAATGTCATGTATTCTCTATCTACAGTGGATCACGCTGTCCTTGTGGGGACTATTGCACAAATAAAAGGTTTCAGAAGGTTAGTATTCGTTTTACTGGTTTTGTGTGTATTCACTTTTTAAGAATTGCTTGTGGAGTTTATTCTGGTTGAAATATAGGTATTTTTTAAATGTTGTAATCATCTGCTTTTAATTACGAACTTTTCATTTGTCACTGTTTCAAGGATAATTGGTATTCCCAGGTGCTGTGGTTTTTTAAAATGTAAATACTGTGCATCTGTTCTTTTGTCAAAGCAGACAGGGGGCCCTCGTTGTCTATAGGTTAAGGTGTTCGCCTCTCATTCAATGGGTCCCAGGTTCGAATCCGGATAGCAACGGAAAATTTTATTCTCCAAAATTTTCTCCTTTCACCTCTTTTCCTGCTCTCCAACAATGTTCTATCGTCTATTTTCGTCTCCACTATCAACCCCCACCTCCTCACCTTTTTTTCCCCCGGTGTCCTGATGGTACAGATATTTGGTCGCTTTTAAGCACAAGGGGGCTATCCCGAAAAATGCTGTTTTGAGAAAATCGAAGGTAAAGTTTTTGCCCCTTGTACAATTTCTTTAAAAGACAAGGAGAGTTTTCTTTATAACCGGACAAATATACACACCAATGAGACCAAACTTCTCCTATAGGTAGGGCAATGCCCACTTCTGGTGTTGGTCAAAATTTCTGGAAACCCCAAAAATCTAGGTTGGCCCACTTGTCCTTAAAAGCGACCATTTGTAGGTTACGTAAAAATGTGTTGAAATGGTGCAAATTGTTATGTTTCAAGGAGAACAAAACAAGAAAAACAACGAGAAAAAGTGGAATTGTTTAGTCGATGATGATGAGATGATGGTAACAATGATCATGCTGTAATGCAGGAAATGATGTGCATGTTATTCTTAAAGTTAGTGTTAAGTCCCACCCCCTCACTCCTCTGCCCCCTCCTTTGGGCTCCTGATTCTTTCTGCAGTCTTTCTACTGCTACTCCTTGGCTCCTTACTGCTGTATGTCAGCCACACCCCTGATCTTATGGTAGGTAAGATCTACATGTAGCCTTCTCAGATTAGGGCGAAAAATCGTGGAGTTCCCATGTGCAAGTTGTGCACGTTAAAGATCACTTGGTGGTCCAAAGTCTATAATAGTAGGCTTCGGCCGCCACCCAGTAAAAATTCAAAATTTCCTACCATGTGAAATTGTTTGATGTGTCCCGCGTGTTCATATGACCTTATCATACTTATGCAGTTGCAAGCACCGTAAAATACTTACCAAAAAAAAAAAAGCATCCGGCTCTTCAGAGTGGTAAAGTTTGGCCTAATTTGTAGTCAATTAGAGTTTAGTTTTTGTATTGTCATGACTGTAAAAACAACATTGCCAATGTAGCACAGATTGATATTGGTTCCCCAATTTTTTTAAAGAATGTGTTTTGATTATCATTATTGTCTCCTTTCTAACTTGCTTTACCCCCCGTGGCAGTGCCACTGACTGTAGTGTCTTTAGGCCATTCCCAAAGGGGGGACATTTTTCGTTTAGGCACAGTAGAATTGTAAATGGGCTGATTCATGTCACGCTCATAACTGTGCCTGATCTACAACAGGGAACTGCTGCTTTTTCTTTCTTAATCCTTACTATTGTCATTTCCTCTACTTTTTTTGTATGTTTGTCACTCTCTTGTGACTTGCTATTTCCGGGGTGCCTTGATAGTCGAAGCAGACCTTGTGCTGTTGAAGCTAGAGAGGTGAGCAGAATAAGTCTGATTCCCTGTAAAGACTTCTCTGTTGACACCCACCCCTTGGAGCTCATATGACCGTATGCAGTTGTGAGCGCCGTAAAACCCTCTACTATAAAAAAAAAATAACTTGCTTTCCTTGTGAAATTTTCATTTTCAGAAACAGTATTCAAATGCTTTGCCTTTCAAGGCAGGGGATAAAGGTTGGGGACTGAGAGCTGAAGAAGATTTCTCTGAGAAGTAAGTGTTAGAAATATACCTTCTAGTATTGCAATGTTATTTCAGTATAGTTTCTTATACATCTGCTCATGGTAGATATTGCAGGGGTTCCCCTGGTTTTGCATCTTCTGCCTTTTTGTGCATATTTGTTGTTTTTAAAAAATCTCAACACCTTACTGTTAACTCTTTTCCTCCCAGGCCAAAATCCACCACTGGCCCAGGGCTTTTCCCTGACCTATTTTTACACCCCTACCCTATGAAAAGAAAATATCGAACAAACATCCAACTAAACACACACAGACCATATCACATGGCCCATCAAACTGAAGGTTAAAAAATAATCTATCAGATGGTGGTACAATATTGAAGATTTATTCCAATTATATTAGTTTGAGGTTTCTAAAATTGATTATGCGATATCTAAGGTGTTGTATGAAATCGACAATTTTCCAGCTTTGAAAGGTCATAACTAAAAAAAGTACAACAATAGCATCATTCAAACTTCCCAGGTATGTTGCCTCAAATAATGCAAAAAAATGCTGAAAGTTATGTATGTGTGCCTATTATAGAAGTGAAAATATGAGACATAGAATCTATACTGAAGTCAGGGGAGCACTTTTCTTTTCATTTTTATGTTTCGAAGGGGACAGAAAAAAGCGCTGTAATGACTAAAAATCGTCTGTCAGTGCTACATTTTCTTTCATGTCCCCTAACAGGAAGTCTCTTCTATTATTTCGAAAACATGGATCGCCCGAGAATTTCGTGCTTTTTATTTAGTGGATTGGAATAGATGGCGAGCAGCTCGAGACGTATTTTGCGGCTGTCGGTCCAGCGAGGCCACATATGCGAGCTGCAAAATGTGGTAGGAAAAGTGTTAAGGGATATGTATTCTAGAGAGCAATTAAAGAAATTTGTTTTCATTGTCTTAGTTGTTTTTCTATTGTGGGTCCAGTGTTTGGAACACGTAGCTCATGTGTTTAGTACTTGTTAAGGATAAGAGTCAAGGCATAGCAATATGCTCTTATGAGATGGGTTTTTAAATTGTCTTCTTTAATCTTCTTCCAGGGGCACATTCATCATGGAGTATGTTGGTGAGTTGCTGGGCTATGAAGAGTTTGTGCGTCGCACACGTCAGTATGCCAAGACAAACCTCATCCACCACTACTTCATGGCACTGAACGCCGACGAGGTCGTGGATGCCACACTCAAAGGCAGCATATCACGCTTCATCAACCACAGCTGTGATCCCAACTGTGAGACTCAGAAGGTTGGTTTTGTTGATTTTTTTTTAATAGTCTAAGTCAATAATCAAAGCAGAAATAAATTGTTCAAGTTTCAACTTTAAAAAAAAACAATACCTATTAACTCATTCGCTGCATATTATTTTGGGCTTGTGGACGAAATTTTTTCCGGAGGACGAAATGAAATGATGACTAGTGCGCTTTTCAAAGGCCTTTGGGGCCACAAATTCAAATAAATATCAACATATTATATACTAAAATTTTCAGTATGATTTGTAAAACACATCTGAAATGTTTTTTTGTGTATTTTTAGACTTTGGTTCCTGTAATAGACGATTATGCAACAGAATTTTGCTTGGATGGGGATAAAATTTGAAATAAAAAGTTAATAATCTTTGGTGAAACTCACAAAATATGTTTACACCTTGTCAAATGATACATCAAAATAACCATAAATGAATAGAACTGGAAAGTATTGAAAAATATGTAGTTATTTACATACATTCTACAAAATTTGTACTTTTGGATCGTAACATATTGATATTGAAAATTTTTTTTACAATCTTGAAAAAAGACAAGATACTTTCACAAAGAGAAAAAAATACTAGTATCTTATATGGAATATAATCTTGAAAAAAGGACAAGATGCTTTCACAAAGAGAAAAAAACACTAGTATCTTATATGGAATATAATCTTGAAAAAAGGACAAGATGCTTTCACAAAGAAAAAAAACACTAGTATCTTATATGGAATATAATCTTGAAAAAAGGACAAGATGCTTTCACAAAGAGAAAAAAACACTAGTATCTTATATGGAATATAATCTTGAAAAAAGGACAAGATCCTTTCACAAAGAGAAAAAAGCTGTGAATGAGTTAAGTACAATCTTACTAGTCTACAAAAGGTGTTTTAACCTTGTGATCTCTTCATTGTCTGTGGTAATACAGAGAGTGAGTTGAGTGAAGCCTCCTTCTGCGCACATGTTTGGCACATGCCACCACTCAATGGAACTGGCCAATTCATCTCATATTCTAAGGGGGTATCTTATGTAAGACTTCTCTTTGTAAATTATGATTATTAGACTTATTTCTTGTTTCATCTGTGTACTTTATGTTTGAAGGGATTTCATGAGTGTGGCTTTCATTTGAATTTTATGATGCTGTTCTTGATTCACAGTGGACTGTCAATGGGGAACTTCGAGTTGGTTTCTTCACCCGTAAAGAGATCAAGGAAGGAGAAGAGCTGACATTTGACTACCAGTTTGAGCACTATGGGTACGTGGTAACAATGGTTGAGAGAGAGTCCCATTTTGTCTGTTTATAATCCTCCTAGTGCTGCAAGAGAAATGTTGCAAGTGTACTTTGAATAGTGCATAGAGACTTTGCAGCAGCAAAACTTTGGCAGTTCACATTTTCTAACCTCTCAAGACATATATGTAGTCCTTTGGCAAAAGAACACTATATGTGAAGTTTATCTTCAGTTTGTGACATGGAATAAAATCTGACTGGTTTTCTTTGTCACAATCTCAGTAATAAGTAGAGCAAAATAACTTTTTGCCTTGATTCCACCATGTTCTTTTGTTATCATTTTTTTCATGGGATCAAGCTTGGCTGTTTTTATCCTTTTATTTTATGAAATTATATGTCAGAGTATTGTCTTGTTCTTTTTTAAAAACTAAAGACATCTCCTTTGAATTATTTTTTGGGTGACATTTGAAGGGTTCAGGGGTAAATGTGGGTGATTTATGATTCTTACAAAATGTATGGAGGCTTTGCTTTTGTTTTTGCTAAGTTAACAAGGTTGAGAGAGATATTCATCTATGTGTCTTTCTTTTTCAAATTTGAAATGGCAGAGAGCCCCAGAAGTGTTACTGTGGATCAGAAAATTGTAGAGGGTATATCGGACTTGTGAAGTCTACATCGAAAACGAATAAGAAGAAGGACAAGAAGAAGAAGGAGATATTCAAAGATGAACTGGTGAGTGACTTGTTCCAATGTAATTTGAATATTAGCCTTGAGATGATTAATTCCTTATTGCTGAAGTGGGAACAACTGGTAACCTCTCTTTTATTCTTCTTCTTTTAATGATCTCAATTGTTTTTGCTTTTCTCCAATGCTTTTTCAATATTGGTTTGAATATGTATTTGGCATAAACTGTTGTGCTAGCTTAATTAAGACTATAAATATAATGAGCAACTCGCATCTGTCTTAGTGTACACCTGCATTTATGTAGATGTAGATGAGAGCAAGGAGAATTTGTATGAATTCAAATGAGAGGTCACTGATGTAAATGTGAGTCTAGAATTCATGTGGGGTTTTTTTACAGTCAGTAGTAGGCTTCTACAAAGTACCGCGGATTGAACCCCTTTTATTTGCATTGTACAACTCGTTATTGGAAACAAGTGATTTTGGAATTATACAGGTAATGTTATGGTTCTTTTGTTCACTACAGTTCTGGGAGTTAGGGTTTTAACTTTTGATTGTTAGCTTTAATAGCTAAAAGTTCATGATTGTTACCTTTCTTGTTTCTGTGACAAACAGCTTGAGGAGGACATTGAGAAATTGTCCTCTCTAGATGGTATGAGGAACAAGAAGGATGTCCTGGAGCTCTGTCGACTCATGGTCAGGGCAGAGAAGGTGCAGCATCGCATGGCTTTACTCAAAATCATCCAGGTAAAGCCCTTTTCCTTTGTTTACTTCATGATTAGACTTGAAAATTATATCTAGGAAAGACGTTGTTTTCTGATTTTGATAAGTGGAGTTATAGAACCAAAAACTTGTCAGTTGTTGTGAACTTGGAAATGTTTAGTTCTTTCCTTGACTGTTCAGTTATACATGACTTGCTCAGTCTTGTAATTCCTAAGCCATATTTTTAAAAAAGTTTTTGTTTGAAGGAGTTATTCAGGTTGCATTTTGTTCATTTTCGTAAGTCCTGCTGACACTGTTATATTGTTGTGGCTGCTATGATTCTCCAAGGTGTAATGGTGGATGGTTCAATAATGCTGTTAATGGTATGTATATGTCCCAGTCTTGCTGTGTACCTACCAACCTTGTTGAGTACTTTGACAATCACCACTTCCCTTCTTGCTGACCAGCTTTCATGAATACTCTTCATATATTGGTAGATTTATATTATAAGAAAGAAAACATTCCTGAAAACACCATATATCGTGCTGGTAGTCTTTTTACTGTAAACAAAAAGAGTCCTTGTGATAACCAAATAGTTTTGTATGGTCCTACTTTATCATATAATAATTATACTGTGAAACATCAGCACTCAAATTCTCCTATTTCTCTGTAGGATACGAGAGAGACTGCCTGTCTGCGTCTGTTCCTCGACTACCATGGTCTGTCTCTGTTTTGGAGCTGGATGACAGACATTGGCACCTCGGACTGCTCTGAAGAAGTGACGGAACTCAAGATTGTGGTGTGTACTGACTGCTCGTCACTTTCTTCTTGTTTATTAATGCAGGCTTTTTTGTCGTTTTTCTCCGTTTTTATGGGCTTAAAATGAATGCTAAAAATAGAAATGAGTTTCAGCAGACTATGTTATAGGAAGAGGTCAGTGGAATTTTAGATAATGTATTTGTAGGAATGATAGCAATAAGACAGACTTCAAAATTCATATCAAAGATTTGCTTTGTGAATGAGAAATAATCTGAATTTTCCCATTTCTTGAGTCACTTTGAACACAAAGCTGTACCGTGTTGACTTTTTCACTCGCAGATTCTGACTGTTCTAAAGAACTTGCCCATCACCAACAAAACCATCCTAAGGGAGAGCAAAGTGCTGGATGCAGTAGAGAGGTGGGCTGTGGCTGCCGTTGCTGCTGCCAGAAATCCTCCCCCGCCGCCCCCTCCCACTTCCACCACCCCACCAGCAGCATCTACCTCAGCCCTTACCCCTGCTGGTGACGCAGACGCAGAAGTCACTGAAGAAACCCCTTCTGTGAGTGCCCCAGAGGAAACGGAAGTGGAAGCGGATCCCCCAGCAACTACAGCTGAGGTAGCGGACAATAACGAAGCTGATGCTATCTCAGATTCCACTCCGGCTGTCAGCTCTTCCCCAACTGCGATGCCTGTGCAGGAAGAGCCAGGCCCAGTTGCCTCCCCCACTGAGGTCACCTGTGTTCCCCTTCCTGTAAGTGGTGTAAACTTGGTGTCAATCCTCGCCTCAGCCAAGGACAGCCGGGAGGCACGGAGCAAGCGCAGGGTAACCTTCGCTGAGGAGCCTGTGGATGCGGCTTTCTCCCCCGAACCTCGGGAAGATGGAGAGGAAGATAATGAAGACATTTCTTCCTCCACTCAAGAAGATGTTCAGGATGATGATGATGGTTAGTATTTCATTGCATTTACATTTTATGTGAATGAAGTTAAAAAACAAGGAAGATTTGTTGTTCCGATCGCAGCAGCCTTTGTTGTCCTCATAGCTGCCACTTTCCCGCTAAATAGCGGAAACTCCGCTACATCTAGCTTTTCCCGCAACTTTCCTCCTTCCTCTGCTGGACGGCTCTTGGTCGCAAATTTCATACTTTTTTTTCCACGCGGAAAACACCGAACCGGGAGAGAGACGAAAACGTAGCTTTCTACTTCCGTTCTTCTAGGCCCAGCGCTAGTTTCACATTGTTTATTGTTGTGAGCAACACAGTGTCGATCGAGCATCGGGACGTTAGCGCGCCGAGTTGTCATTGAAATTGGCGGAAATTCGAGAGAAATTGATTCAGAATGCAAAAATAAAAGGAGCTGGAATGAGAAAGAAGCAGCCGGTGTGCGACTTGAAAAGTTCATTAGAAAATTGAACTAGCCGTTTTTTGCGAAAGAAATCGCGGCACTCCTGTTACAGTCCTGTACAATTGCGGTCCCGTTTGTTTACATGACGGCTGTTGTGGCTGCTGCGGAAATGAATCTAGATCTAGATCTAGGTCTAGAAAATCTATCTCTAGATATAATCTTTTTTTAGATCTACACATATTTAGATATATCTAGATCTAGATTAGATAGCCTAGGCTATAATTTTGATTCAGCTTATCTCTAAATAAGAAACACACTACAGACTACAGGGGCACTAAGTGCAAACGGGACCGCAATTGGTACAGGAGTGCCTGCATCCTTGATCCGATACTGCTCTACGTCTATGTATGTACACGTTTAAAGTGAAATAAATCTTTTTATGAGACACCAGCTGGCAAAAAACACTGGATTTTTAGTCACCAAGTCCAAACTGTGTCAAATTGACTCGAATGCTTGTTAGTCAACTTACTGCCTTTATGTGGTTTTTTTTTTTTTTTCAAATACATTTTAATTTTAATTCAGTTACCTATGGTTAACAATATGACAGTTTTCCCTTCCAAAACCGTAGGCTAGATTTTCCAGTATATATTGCCTCTGGATCTCACTGGTTTCGGAGAGCGCGCGTACGCCTTCGTGTGAATTTCCTCCTTTTTTTAAATTTCTGAGTGGCAGCTATGTGTCCTGTGATTTTCGGTAACCATGTGCTCAGTACAGGGTGAGATTTGCTTCACTCTCTGAAAATCACATGGTGTGACAAAAAAAACTTTCCTGCTTATCTTTGAGCTGGTGCGTTTGTCGTTGAAAGGAGTGGACAAAATAATTTCCGATTTTGAAAATGTCACATTCCTTGGAAACAAGTTAAGCCTATGTTGCATCCTATGCTATCATAATGTGGACATATATCTGGCATTTAGACATATTAGTTTTTTATGAGTAGACAGATTGCAGTTTTGTTGCTTTGCCATACCATATAACAGTCTGATCTCTTTTTTACCTCCTCAGATGCTGCAACAGCTGCTGATCAGGAAGGTCAGTCAGAAGTACCGACTGAGCAAGCAGAAGGTTCTGGAAGTGCAGTGGCTGACTCCACCAGCCAGAAGGACACGGAAGATTCCTCCGCACCTTCTCAGGCAGAGGCAGAGGCAGAGGATGATGACAGTGATGAGCTGTCGGAGGCAGATTTCCTCAGCAAGAGTCCCCTAGCGCGACTGGCCACAGAGTTGTTGGCTTTGTGGAGTACGCTCAAGGTGTGTGATTTCATCCGTGACGTTGTCTTGTCCTGTCTTAGGTTGTTTGTGACGTGTGTCATGTTCTGATGTCAGTGGCATTGCTTTGTCTTTCAACGTCTGACATTGTCATGCCTTGTGATGTTTTTGCCAGTGTCTTGCCCTCTGATGTCTGCGTTGCTGTCTTGCCCTCTGATGTCTGCGTTGCTGTCTTGTCCTTTGAAGTCTGTTGTGTTGTCTTGTCCTCTGATGTTGCAGCAATGTCTTGTTCCCTGATGTCTTGTCAGGAGTGAGTGATTTTATTGAGGGTTGAATGTCAGTCTGGAATGCAGGTGCTCTGATGTGGTCTGCTTCTTCTTTCCTATGGAACATCTGTCGTCTTTAGAACATCTGTCGTCTTTATCTCCCCTCCGTGTTTTTTGTGTTTGTTACTCCCTTGTAACACTTCTAATCTTCCGCACTTCTATGACCTTATTGTGTTGCAAGTGCTGTGAAACACTCACTAAAGCTAAAAAAGGAATGCAGTGGAAACTGCCTGTTTGCTTTTTCTCCTTTCCTCTTTGCTCTCACTCTATGTGTCTCTCTCTCTGTGTCTCTTCCTCCCACAAAACACCAATCTTTGCTTCCTCCTCCATCCTGTTGATTCTTCTGCTACTTCCCTTTCAATCTTAGACTGCTGTAGATTCAGCCACTTATCCAAACATTTTGTCAAAGAACATTCACCCTCTGAAACCACAAATCACCCATTTTGTACTCACCATAGGACACATGATCGCTTTTTATTAAACAGATGATTGGTGGTTATGAAAGTTAAGGCAGAACTAGTTCACAAGTTGATACTCAAAATGTAGATTGAATTGCGGGTGGTTGGCAGGTGCTCTGGTGTGGTTTGCTCCTTTTTTCCCAATATCTATAGTCCTTATCTATCTTTTTTTTTGTATGTTACTAACACCTTTAACCTTTGGTACTTATAATACCTTATTTTTTTGCAGTTTTGTCTAACTCTTACAAAACTAAATTTAGAGTGAATTTTCAGAAACTTACTTCATGGGTTTTTTGTCCCTATGTGAAAGGATTTTAGAGACAAAGTAGATTCCTGACTTGAAATAGGAAACAAACTTTAAGTACTAATGCAAAAGTTGTAAATTCTAGCACTGAGCATTAGAACAAAATAGGGTAGGACATATTAACTCAAAAGTATCTTTTAAATGTAACAGTATTAGTTAACATGTGCAGTCTTGTGAAATGTCCTCTTACTGGTTGTTTTCTGTATCCATAAGAGATCATTGCATGAGCATTTTTGAGTTCTCTAAATTGTTGATAATATTCTATCAATTACATATTTTAATAAACGTCTCCAGGAAATTTTCAAGATTCCAAAGAAGGAGCGGGTTGAGGAGAGAAAGAGGACAGAAAGAGAACTGGGTAAGCAAATATTGTCTAAGTGGAAGAAAATACTTTTTAAATGTGTGTCTTGTTTTACTTGGTATGGCGTTCTACTAAAGAAGACTGATGTTTAGATTTTTGGTGCAGCAAAAGTGCAATAATCATACAAGCATTGATCTTTTGATGTTGTCAACATCAATGCTAGGTTAGAGAGTTTGATGTGAAAAACTTGCTAAAACAGATAAGGCAGAGGAGGGGTGCAGTAAACAGATTTTTGCGGACAACGTCCAGCCTTCTATAAATACATGTGCGTGTCCTCTCCTGATGGTGTGAATAAATCTCTCTTCTCTAGGATTGAATGTTAAAACTGGTAAGTTGCAGTTTTGAAGTCTGATATTTTCTCTTAAAATATGCATCTTTTCTGTGAAAGCTCACAATTTTGTTCAGTTTCAGGGAAAATAAAAATGTTCACCCCCTTCTTTTTTAATTTCCATGTCAGCTAACGTTGGTTGGTTCTTTATTTTGGAAGTTTATGCAATGTATGTTTTGTTGCGATGTAGAAAATAAATTTACTTTTGATAACAAGTGTTCTTACGCTTTGAACTTTCATTTTTCAGTTCTTTGTTAACAGTTATTTTAACATATTGTTTTTTACTCTAGATTTAATTGCATAGTGATATTTCTTGACTTTCCATCAATACACATAAATGCTTTGAAGAAAAAAGCCTTAAGTTCAAATAGGAAGTCTTTGAAATCAACATTATTGTGGTTATGGTTTTCCATGTTACTGAGACAAATTGAATTATATATAAGGCCTAAAATTATTCACTTGGCAAATTTGGATAAAATCCGACTAGAGATCAATGGGATCAAGGACACAAGATAGATTGATATATTTTGTCGACAGCTGGCTGTAAAAATTGTTGTTTACTGGTTTGTCAAAATGTCTGCGAGGAACTGCTTTTTATATAAATTTGTAACAAATGTTATCATCCTTACTTTCAGATGTATTGTCCAAAAAGGAGACTGGTACATCAGGTCAGTATAGATTTTATAATTTTAATTTTTCAGTGACCATTAATGTTGGTAGATATGTCAAGTAAATATTATAACTTTGAAAGAGTTCTCTAATTCTTAGAGGGGGGGGGGGGTATTGTTTTGTGCTCTATTCCTATCATAGTTGCGTTTTTTGCCCCTTATCATTTAAAGAAAATTCTTTAAAACTGATTTTTTAAAAATACAGTGTATGGTATTTTCAGGGATAATCACCTCTGTTCTTGGAATTCATGGTATGTAACAGGACGGCTCCATGAAGGTTTTTAAGGGTAAAGCAGATATTTGTGTTTTCTAAGGGAGAAAACATAGAGAACGCCGATTTCGGAGACTGGCTCAGTAAGCGCCGATAGGTATAAAAATTTCCTTATGATTTTCAACTTGCCCTACATAGAGCTGGCAGACTGCAGGCGGCTTTAAACTCGGATAGGCGTTGTCGGCTTTATCGGAATCCCAACTACATTCTTATTACGCCGAAAAAGTGGGAAGGGCGTCTCGCTGTCAGCTCGTGACCGCAGTTCTTTCTTGTCGTATCTCCATTTTTTAACTGTGAAAATGTGACTTCTTCTTAAGCTCACTCTTTGTTGTGAACTGCTTTCACTGTTATTAAAAATGGAGATGCGACAAGAAAGCACTGAGGTCGCGGACTCCCAGTGCCGTCTCGCCGTCGCCAACTCGGGTTGAGCGGTTTGTGTGACGTCACCCGACCGGACAGGGGACAATTTTAAATGGACATTTCAGGACTGGTGCTTCACGGTAGACAAAAACTAATTACATTTTTTAAATCAGCGTCGTCAAATTAGGGTGGTCACAGAGCAGAATTACATTTTAAGCAATATTTTAGGAATTTCGAGGTTTTTTTAAAATCCCCAAATAAATGCTTCATAAATACCAGCTGTGTTGTGGTGTCATTTTTTCTTATATCTAGATCTAGGCTTTAGGCGCCCTCTATGTGGAGTCAAGTAGACACCTACTGGCGCCTGTCCGCGTCGATCTTCAGCCGCTTACGTTTCGGCGTTCTTTATGTTATCGCCCTAATGCAAAACTCTTGAGCTGTTCAAGGCTTACTTTCCTTTGAATGTATTGTTGTGCCTAATGAATCACATCATAAATTATCAAATTTTGGCTCTCTATCCACAGATCCATTTGCCAAGTGGAAGAAGTCGACTGCTCGATTTTCACACAGGAAAAGATCCATAGAGGAGGATGACAGGTAAGTCTGAACTAGGAGTTCTGGGTTTAAAAAATGTTTTTCCCTTTTCTTTTCTGAAGTATGTCTATGCACTCAATCAGTTTGTTACCTGGGGTTAAGAAGGGCTTGTATTTACAGATGGTCATTTATCTCACAAACATGTGTATACCTCTGGTCCTTGCCAGTCCAGAAGTGGAAAAATGGAAATTAATGGACTGTTCAGCTCTGGAGTTTCAACTGAAAGGCAGTTAGGTGTTTTTTGTGCTGAACCCATTAGGAGATGGATGCCATTAGGGATGTAGAATCCGAACACATTGTTAGAAGGTATGCCTTATATGACTAATGTCCAGCCTGTCTTTTCCGATGACATCTTACTTATCACTTGATGTATTTGTATTCACACAAAAATTCACAAGTTTCACATGTGCATGTTATTTGCTTTTACGTATTCACGCGAGAATTCTGAAATCGCTTAAGCTGATTTTTTTGTGTTCCTCCCATCCCTGTCGTGCAAAAATCATGAAAACCCTTAAAATTAATGCTCCAACATTTCTTCACCCCTCAGGAAAGTCAAAGAGCCTCGACTGAGCAAAGCTGAACGGCGACAGCGGTTTGAGGCTCAAGTGAAGGCTCAGGATGAGTTGGCTGCCCAGGCCTATGCGGAGGAGCAGGAGCGTCAGAGGGAGGCCTACATAGTGCACACCACCCGGCTCATGCAGGACCCAGACTACTTCCGCTTCCACCAGCAGCAGCAGGAGATGGGGTTCGAACCCAGGATGGACCCCGCCACTGGCCAGCCCCTGCCCTTAGGTCATGATGTCTTTATAGATCCCAACACAGGGCAGCCTATGATTGACCCGGCTACGGGCCAGCCTCTAGCGGTGGATCCCAGTACAGGCCAGCCCTATGTAGACCCCAGCACGGGACAGCCATACATAGACCCCAACACTGGTCAACCCTTTTTGGATCCAAACTCTGGACAACATGTGATAGATCCGAACACTGGACAGCCTTTAATTGACCCCAACACTGGTCATCCCTACATAGACCCGAGTTCAGGTCAGCATTTAGTAGATCCAAACACAGGGCAGCCGTACTTTGACCCAAATACTGGCCAGCCGGTGATAGATCCAAACACGGGTCAACCGCTGATAGATCCCAGTACAGGCCAGCCTTTGCTACAGCACCCCTCTCAGATAGACCCAGCCACTGGTCAGCCTGTCTTAAGCCATGCCGTGGACCCCCACAGTGGGCAGCTGATGCCGCACTATGACCCTCACACAGGCACTCACATAGATCCCCACACTGGACAGCCTGTGCCGGCGGGTGCTCACACTCAAGTGGATCCGCACACAGGCCTGCCACTGCCAGGGTTGGGTCTAACTGCCCCGGATTTTCCTGCTCAGGTGGGTAGAGTCATATAGAACTCAGTTTTTGTTGGCTGTGCAAGTACTTTTTCTTGAGAAATATAACTCTCTTTAGCGTCTTTCTCTCTCTTTCTCTTCTCCTCTCTCCTCCTTCTCTCTCCTCTCTCTCTCTCTATCCGTCTCTATCCCCCTCTATCTCTCTCTCTGGCGTCTCCTTTCTCTGCTATTGTTTCCTTTCCTTTCTACCCTTCTTACACATTCACACATATTGTCTGTATCCCAGTTCCCTATAAAAATATCTTCAAGAATCACTCTTCCAAACAACTTAAGTTTTGAAAGATATGCACACTGGTGTCATGGTATTATGGACGTCGACTGTTGTCCTTTTGGTTGTTGCTGCTACCAGCCATCTTAACAGGTGGGTGGTTGGCGGGTGCTCTGGTGTAGTTTGCTTCTTCTTTCCTATGAAACATCTGTCGTCCTTATCTCCCCTTCTTCTTTTTTATGTTTTGTTACTCTCTTGTAACACCTCTTATCTTCTGGCGCTCATATGACGTTATGCAGTTGCGAGCGCCATAGAACTTTTACATGAACTAAAACATCTTAACAGGACTCCCCTTGACTTTTTCCTCCAGCCTCCAGGCCAACAGCTGTCGGCTTCAAACGCAGTATTGCTGGAGCCTGACATGGAAGAGGAAGTCCCCCCACCACCCTCGCCCCCGACTGTTCCTGTGTCCAAGTTGCCACCAAATTGGAAAACGGCTAAAGATGCAGAAGGTCGCATTTATTACTACCACGCATACACTAGGTGAGCCCAGAGTTGACTTTCTGTATGGTTGTCATCTTTCAGGAAGGATTGCGGCATTGTTTCTATTTTGTTTCTAGTTAGAAAATTATGGGTTTTATTTTTCCTTCTGTAGATAAGTGGTACGAGCATTTCTTTGCTTGTGGCCTGCTGAAGTTCTAGAAGCTATACAGTATGCTTTTCCTGCATTTCCAGTCCACTTTGTGCAATATGCATACATTGACCAGTCTTCTTTTCTAATTGTCTTTTCATGATAAGGTTATTGTCTTCAGTTGTCTTTTCAGTGATATGCTGTTCCAAATATTCACTGTTGGTGGTTGGCAGACGCCCTGGTGTGGTTTGCTTTTTTTTTTCCTATCAAACATGAATTGTCCTTATCTCTCCTTGTTTTCTTTGTATGTTACTCTGTAGTAAAATACACTACACCTCTAATCTTTAACACTTGATTGACCTATTTGTGTTGCAAGTGCTATAAAACTCATTTAAATTAAACTAAATATATTCCGTACCCCTTGGACATGCACTCAAAACAAGATGTATGCAAGTTTTCATGTGTGCCACCTTCCTTTCTGAAATACTTATTATGGCGTGAGTGCTTAGTTTTTTGGTGTCATCTGCTTTTTCTTTTCTGTGTTACTAATGCCCGAATCTGTTCCTGACAAAAATGTGACACTTATTCTGGTGACATGCTGTAACGCACAAGCTTAGTAGGGATTTGTAGCACTCACCATGTTCTGTTCTTTTCACAGGCAAACCCAGTGGGATATGCCCACAGGTGAGGAGAATGAGGACGACTCTGAGAACGATATGGATGTGGACCCTGTACCAATGGAGGACATTGTCAAAGTAAGGAGAATTTACTACTGCGGAAGAAGTTTTTTAGTTTTTTCCTTAAGTCTTTTTTTATGGTTTCATTTTGTCTGTAGTATTGTAATCTAGTATACTTTGTGGTCGGTATCTTTCATTTATAAAAAGAATGTGCTTGAGCATTGCAAGATAGTGTAATCCTTAAATAGTATTCTCCTTTGTTTTGGGTTTTTTTTTTTTAAAGCAGTTTGCAGTAGGTTTTTCTGTATGTGTCTTCCCTTTTTTTCTTTCTCTCATTTAAATCATTAATCCATTTGTGTAATCAGTCCCATGATGAGCGTGATTTGAAAAAGTTTTTGCGCAGACAGGTTTTGGCTATAGTTTGTTTTAGTTAACCCTTCAAGCGGTGCTCGCGACTATTGTGGGGATTACAGGTTGGTAAGTGTTCCGATTCACCGCAAAGCTTGTGAGCATCCAATACACTGCATTCTGTTACAAACCGAAAAAGAGTGATTCCCTTCTTATTTCTTGCCCCCACATGGCAAACAGAATTGTAGGCATTTTTATAAATGAAAATCCCAACCGTTTGTTTGCATTAGCTGTGCACTACCAAAATGGCAGCTCTCACTAGGTCTAACTTTGTTACTAGAACCCAATCGAATCAAAACGTACGCAATCTTGGTGACAGTCTGTATGAGGACGACATCAATAATGCAGAGAGGGTGAAATAAATGTTCCAGTTGTGAACAATGCACTCCTAAATGTTTCATGGAGTACCACACATACTGTGTTTACAAACTGAACTGAACTCACTGAGAAAAGCACACAAATGAAACAAACACAGCAGTAAATTTTAGTAGAAAATTTAGTTCCAACTCTTGTACATATATATGTGTGTTAACGACGCGGTGGAATCAGGCGCTTGTCAATTTTGGGGCATACAGAGTTAGTGGTAGCCAATCCATTTGCCTTGGTTTTGATGGAAAAATATCCATTTATCTTGGATACAAGTCAAGATATGGGTGATTGAAGGAGGTTGGGTCGCCTAATTTCAGAGATAAGATTAGCGAGAAAATGGCTGCCAAATTTGAGTTATTTCCTTAGCTTGGGAGTCTGTGGAAACTGAAAATTTTACATCTCTTATGCCTTTAATCAACATTTTTCAGTAAAATCCACACAGAAATATGTGTTTTGTTAAGGGCATGAAAGGTGATGAGCCAAAAAACAAAAATTCTATAAAAATTCCCAAACCTGCTGAAAAATGCCAGTTTCTTGACTTTCATTATTTTGACAAGCACCTGATTTCACCATGCTGCCTCACTTATTTTTAAAATTTTTCATTCATTTGTGGTTGTTATGGTGTATGATACAAGTTTTAGCTTCAGTGGCATGTGTTAAATGACAGTTTTTCTGACATTACCTTGTGTCGTGTAGTGTAGGCCAAAATAATATGTAGCTGAGGACCCTGGAGTTAAGAAATAATTCACTGCTGGAAGGGTTAACCATCAGTGTTTGTTCTTATTCCTTCATCTGTTTGTGTTTCTGGCATCGTTTGTTGAAGGATTTGGCGACTTTGCTTTCACAGAATAAAAAGAAACCCACGACAGCAGCGGCAGATACATCAACTGAGGCAGCCCGACGGATCAAGGAACAGTTCCGTAGCAAAATGTCGGGTTTCATCGTGACATTCTTGAACCCTTTTCGCAAACAGGACTGCAAGGTCGGCCGTATCACTTCCACTGATGACTTCAAGCACTTGGCTAGGAAGGTATGTGGCTTTATACTATGTGCTGGTGTATTATCTCTGAATTAAAGGCTCTCTTGGCTTACAGACCCAAAAATATCTAAGCAGATACTTACTGGGCTTGCTCGGAAGCATCAGTGCAGACTGCCTTTTTAAAAGTGCTCCAACACTAACCTGATACATGCTGTTAATGTCTTTGTCAAAATGTGTCAAGCAATGTGGATACAACTCTTTTGGAGGGATGGTTTCTGGGATGTGTCTTTCGTTAAGGGAAGATGGCCAAAGCCAAGTGTGGTGCTGTGCTTTGGTTACCATGGATGCTGCTGGTGTATTCAAACTGATCGTTGTCCTCCTTATTATGTGATATTGTTTGCTTTTAATCTTGTATATATATGTATATGTATATCTATATTTAATTTTTTATTTGCTTTATTCTATGAAATTGAGCGTTAATAAGATTTCAGTGTAAATTCAACCTCTGGAGTTTTTTAAGTTTAGAAATAAGATGAAGAAATAAGACTATGTGTGATTTTCAGTTCAGGACTTTGTAGATTGAATAGGATTATAACTGCATTTTTATGTAAGAATTTGAGAAGTGCTTGATATCTGAGTGGTTCAAGTGTTGTAACTTTTGCCATATCTCCCCAGCTGACCCATCATGTAATGTCCAAGGAGCTCAAGCACTGTCGACATGTGGAAGACCTGGAGGTCAACGAGAATGTCAAGGCTAAAGCCAAGGACTATGTTCGCAAGTACATGTCTAAGTTTGGCCAACACTACAGAAAAGTCTCGTCACCACAGCCAGACGAGGCGATGTTATGATAATGGATGCCAGTAGATCCGGTTTACGCACAGTTCTTTGTTCTCCTGGTCCCTCTCTCGGTGAAGGCAGCACAGCTGTGTGGTACTGATAAATGTGTGCGTGTGTGTGCGAAGGATATGTCGGAGTGTGCCTCTGTGTGTGCATGCATTTGCGTAAATGTGTGTGTTTGTGTGTGTGTATGCATGTTGGTGTATGTCTTTTTTTCTCATTTGACATACTTGGCCCACTGTAGTGCAACTGGCACATTTTATGAGACATGTTTTTAAGATTGTTTAGCAAGGCTAGCATAACTACATTAGAGTCTGATTGGCAAAAGTGAACGCCCCTCTTGGAGCTGGAAGTGATTAGAACTCGAAACACTTTTGCTGTGGACGAGTTATACTCTCACTTTTCCTCTTAGTCTGGTCCATATCACTGTCATGCCTTCACTATTTTTTGGTTTGGATTTTGATATGCAAGAAGGTGATATCACTGTTAACAGATGGATGCGGATGAGTCTCTGTCATTCACTCCTATTCTGTCTACTGCACTTTCACTGAAGGAAGAAGACTAGAAAGTGTTTTTTATTTTCTGCTTAGAATGTGAAGTCAAAAGATATCACCAAATAAAAAGTGTGTTAAACAATTTGTTATGGACAAAAGAGTCAAAATGTATTGTTTTTATTCCTCAAAGAAATGTTTCCCAGTACTTTATTTCTGCCTGGTGGATGTCTGGTCAATGTTGTTGCTTTTTTTGCTACCATAGGGGAGGACTTCATCAGTCATGGGGAAACTCAGGGACATAAACTTGAGGCTTTTTAGAATCTTTTGCTATTGATGAAGAAGCAAAGAGAGCTGGATTTATTCAGATAAGTGTAATAGGGTTTGCCTCTTTTGTTTTTTTCCTCTGTACTGTCTATTCATTTAATTTTTTAAAATATTCATCCTCACTAAGAGGAAAATGTTTGGATAAAAGATGTGGAGATTCGGTTGATCCCAAGATAGAGTTTTCATGCAATGGATTGAGAAAACAGTAAGACAGAAGTGTCATGATTTCAAACATTCTGATCTGGTGAGTAGTGATAAATGATTTTAAAGGTTCTAACATTAGTAATATTGCTAGTGAGCAACTGAGAAACATGAACTAGTGATTGTATGCATGTTTATGTTTAGGATATTACATTGTTCTTGTGTTTGAGATGAGTGAGTGTGTGTGTACATAGAGAGAGAGCCAGAGAGAGAGAGATAAAGAGTCTAGAGCACTTGTGGTTTGCCGTTACACAACTTGATCTCAGGCAGTGGTGGTCAGAACGTCTGCTGATTTCCAAAGTGTGCCACACACTGTGTGTCCTACTTTTCTGATGTCATGAAGACAGATCAACAAAGTATGGAGATTTTGATAGAATGTCTGTTGTCATTGTGATTAGTGCCAACTACTAATTTTTGAGGGAAGGCAAAGTAACCTTCAAGAGCATACATTTTCATTCATGTATGTTTCCTTAGAAATTCTTTTATCTTGCTTTTGAAGAGCTCGTGGTTTATATGCTGTACTAAAAGGATGATTTTAAAAAATCTTTGTACCGATAAATTTTCCTGCTTGGAAGTACGCAAGATAGAGAGCCAAGTTGTAAACTTTTCACAATTGGACCCAAGAGAAATCATATTCTGTTGAGCCTACCGATGTTAGAAAGTGAAATATGATTTTTTAAATTACAAAATTTGAGCTGACCATGAAGTTTGACGATGGGAGTGAGCCAGCTATGGTGGGCGATGTGACTGTGGTCAGAAAGCTGTTCTTTTCTACAGAGCCGCCAGCTGCTCACTCAGCCTTGTGCTCCTCCAGCAGCAGCAGCTGAGAGTGCTCTTATAGAACTTCTTTGTTATGTTGTCCACTTGCCATTCCATGAGTTTCAAAATACTTAACTGTACTTCAGGAATATTTAAGAAGTCGGCGTCTTGTTTGATGTGTGTGGAGCACAGGAGTGGGGTAAAATAGAGAATGTGGTTGCACTGTTTTCATGTTGACAGTTTTCAGATTGTAAATGAATATTTTATATGAAGATTGTGCTGGCATGGTTGTTATACATGAAAGTTGTTACTTTTGTTTGTTACTTATGTAATTTGATTTTGTAGAAAAATTCTTGTGGCCAGGTTGCTTTTTGTGTTTTAAAAACTGGAATTCAGTTTGCTTAGGTTTTGTAATATACGGCCATTTTATCTTTTAAGCATAATGTTTTATTTTTGTAATTTGTTGCCAAATGAGTTTCAAGAAAAATTGGTATTTTTGTCCGTGAGATCACCTTTGTGAGTGATAATTTCTTGTGCATGGTTCTGTACATTTTTTCATGACAATAATGAAATGAATAAAAAAAAAAAAAGTTTTAAAAATATGTCATGTTCATTGTGTATAGGAAAGTCTTTCTCATAGCGCACAATTCATAACGGTCAAGATGAAGAAGCTCATTCGCATTTATGTTTCTGTTTTAAAATTATTTGGAGGCAACAATGTTCTGTAACCAGTCTGTTACTAGTGACACATGTTGCTTAAAACCTCTTTTAAAAAAATGACACCGAAAAAAGTAAACTTCTGTCATGTGAATCACGATGTGAACATTTTTTTTTTTTAAAAAGATCGGGAGAAAATCTTCTGTGGGCACCAAAACTTACTTTTGGATTTGTCAAAACTCTCTATCAACTTCACTTTGAATAAGTAACACACTTTTTTAACTTAATGATCTTATTGTGTTGCAAGTGCCATAAAACTCTTACTAAAAATAAACTAACTTCATGATTCTGAAACAGTGAGATTAGCACGAAGCTCGAACCTCTTAAAGAAGTTGGCTTTTCTTCTATCTTGAAATGCAGGGAGCAAAATCACAAGGATGTTCAATACAAATAGATCTAATAGAGCAAATCCAGAGAAAAGAATTCTGGGACCCGTAGAGAATTTTTTTAATCGGAGAGGTTTCTTAACTGTAGTTGGTGTGGGAACAGTTGAAAATTGAACTCTCGACCCTTTGTATAATATCTCTCTTTCTGTTTGGTGACTTGAAAAGGGTAGCCCCCCTCATGTTGTAACTAAAAATACTAAAGGTGGAGACTTTTAAGTAGAGTCACCTTTCTCGAGCTAGCCCCAAGCCTCTCCACTCCCCTTTTGGGGAGAGGAAAGGTGGTGACAGAATGAAGGCCTTTCCCCTCCCCTGACATCCCCTATGAAGGGGTGACATCTTCACTCTTTTGAATCAGTGTTAATGATTGTTATTACACTTTCTCAATGTGAAAATATTTTCGAGGCTGGCCTAGCCCTGTATGTGCAAGATGGATGAATAAATATTTCAGTGGATGGTTTTACATTGGTTGAGAAAAGGAAGGCTGAACAGACGCCGTTACTGGGTTCACAAAATAACCAACGTTGTAGTAAGTACAGTGGAAACCTGATTTAACTGAAATGATGGGACCAGAGAAAATGTCCTGTTATATCAGATCCCTGTTAAAGCAGAAATGCAAGGGAAGTAAGCATTTGTGGACTAATCCAGTTGTGTTTATTCATGGGTACTTTCCCTTGCCACAAATATCCTGCCCTTGACACCTTATGCGTGCATGTAGCTAGGCTTAGGGCTAGATCGAAGTCTGCAGCACACCGCAGCTCTCTCTCGTTTCAGCAGTGGCGTGGCTTGCGTGGGCTTGCTCCATCACTCTCTTACTTTTTTACACATTGGTATTAACGAGCCTTTGTCCCTGCTATAACCGATTGAGCTACGATGAGGCCCTGTTGTTGCCGATAACTTTTAACAGAGACAAAGAGTAGGAAAAAGCGGGGATTTAATAAATCCGTTATTACCGGATCCCTGTTATGTTATTAGCGGGCCTGTTATTTATATGGTTTCCACTGTATTGATAAGGTACCCCACAAGAAAAGAAAGATCTAGGCTAGGCCAAGCCCTTTTGTATACTGTGCAAGTGAGTACACACACCGAGTGGGTTATTTTAGGTGAATGAAGGTGCAAGAAATTTTAGAGCTGTGTTAAAATTCAGTTACCAATCTTATTTTGGGGCTTGGAGGGGACACGCCTTAAAAAGGGGAGGTGAGAGGCTGGTGACTCTACTATGTCGCTCGCTAAGCTTTTCCTGTAAATTATACCTGCTGCTCCCCATATTGGGGCCAGACGGAAAAAAGGTGCGGGGAAGGTGACTCCACTCTGTCTGCACTTTTTTTAGGCAGATGTATTGCATTCTCACTTCCCCTGTCAGCATTTTGCGAATGTCAAAGTAATTTGAGCAAAGTGGCACCATAAAAACAAAACTCTGCATGAAAAAGAACACAGGTTGGGCGTAAATAAACTCATATTTGGGGCTCTCGTGGCCTAGAGGTTAAGGTGTTGGCCTCTCATTCAAAGGTCCCGGGTTCAAATCCGGGTAGTGACCGAAAAATTTTCTTCTCTAAAATTGTCTCCTTTCACCTCCTTTCCTGCTCTCTAGCAATGTAGGCCTACTGTTGTCTGCTTTCATTTCCACTTTCTGCCCCCACCCCCTCACCTCCTTTGCCCCCTCCTCTCTCTTGACTCTTTCTGCAGCCTTTCTACTGCTGCTCCTTGGCTCCTCCTTACTGCTGTCTTTCTGCCACACCCCTGATCTTCAGGTAGGAAAGATCTACACCTAGCCTTCTCGGACAAGGGCGAAAAATCTCGGAGAGCCCGTGTGTGAGTTGCGCACGTTAGAGATCCCTTGGTGGTCTATAATCGATAAGAGTAGGCTTCGGCCGCCACCCGGGCAAAATTCAAAATTTTCTACCAACTGAAAATATTAAGTGTGTCGCGTGCGCTCATATGACTTTATGCAGTTGCGAGCACCGTAAAACACTTACCAAAAAAAACAAAAAAACAAACAAACAAAAAAAACAACCAAAACTCATATTTGTTATTTGAAAATACATTTATACATGTATTTACATCAGTACAAAAATAAAGTAATATTACAATGACGTAATGGTGTCTGGTGTAAAAACACCTACATTTTTTTTAAAAGACGGCAAGAAATTTTCAGTAGCATACTTTTCACAAATTCAATTTCATACTCTTTCATTCTATACCTGTCCCACGTATGTCTCAAAGTATGCACACAGAAAGAGTAGTGACTCATTCCACCATTCATTCACATAGATCATGCCTAAACACTCAGTCTATAAGTTGTCGTAACATTTCTTCAGATAAACCTTTCAAAAGCAGAATCACATGGGGACAAGAAAATAAAATTCCCTTTGGACTAGTTTGACACTTTTTGTGCATGTTAAGTTATATACTAAATTGGCAGTAAAGAAACTAATTCCATTTATCACAAAAATCAACCTTCTAATACTCACACACAGAGATCATAGGAAGTACCGGTATGAACAAAGAAATCACTTCAAAAGCTAAATGCCCTTTACCAGGTGAGGTGTTTTGTCTCAAGCTAAACGTAGTTGGAATCCTGGTCTGTACAGGCATGGTCAAAGGATATATATCTTTGGGGTTTTTTAGCAACGGATTTTCACACTCCTGATCCAAAGATCAGTGGGATTTCATACCGTCTTCCATGATAAGAAAAAAGAAAATTTGAAGACATGGGTGCAAAACTTTTGACAAACGCCACTAAAAATTACAAAGGGGCATTTGTCTGAGCCTTTCACTCGGCGACCGATATGTTCATGTTGCGCATGTTGTGTGCATTAATTGATAGGCTCACCTTACTACTTAATCATTAGAAGCCATGTAAGATAAGATAAGATAAGATACATCTTTATTGTCCAGATCCTGGCACATTGGTTTGGTGTTCCACCACACACACACACGCACACACACACGCACACACACACACACACACACACACAAACACACACACGTACACACGTGCACACACATGCACACACAAGTAGGCTTACAATCACATGCATAATATAAATGAGCAGCAATATAAACAATAATAATCGTAAGCTAGATACACACTCAATGTTATTTTGATGCATGCTCTAAGGTCGTAAGTATACTTATACAAGATGGTTAAGATGGAAGCATTTTGATAGATGATGGTAAAAATGACCTTCTGTATCTTTCTTTGTTACAGATCAGAAGCATGGGTCTTTTACTTCTGACTGATGTTTTTATTTGAGGGAACAAGGGATGTTTGTTGTCTAAAAAGATGGAATTAATTTTCTTAGTGCAAGCTGTTATATACAATTCATCCAAGTAGGGGAATGAAGATGTTGAAATTTTACATGCTTTCCGTATTAGTCGATTTAATTTTTCTTTATCTTGTTGTCTTGTGTTCCCGGCCCATGCTGTTATACAAAAATAGATCATACTTTCTATGTGTGCATGTCCTCGCAAATTTATAAACAAACTGAAAACACTAAATGTGTCCCTTATGCAGTTGCAAATGCTGTACAACACATACCAAAAAGAAAAAAAATCTAAACACATTCCTACCTATAAAGATAGTCTGGAGAATAAATAAAGAGGGCAATCAACAATGGTATAATACCGCTTGAAAATTGAGGGACACTCCACTTCAGTGGTAAGTAATTGGACCATGTACTAAATCAGTTGCACTGTTTGTTGAAGCACATACAGTCTATTATTATTAGATCCAGAGGGAGCCATAAGAAGTGTAAGAACAATAAAAATTTCACTCGGCGGTTTCCTCCATTCTTTTCTCCACTTGTCTCTTGTACTTGTACAAGATTTCTCTCGAGTCCTCATCCCATCCTGGCAATCCAATGACAAAATCTGAGAACCACTTCACTGGGTGCTGTTGAAATAGACAAACAGCAGGGAAAAAGTTAAAATAAAAGGCCAAAAATAAAATCATCATCAAGTAATCATGCATTGAGGGAATTGTAAAACAGCGGAAGAAAGTGAAAGGCTTAAGAACTAAGCTCACAGAGTGAGTCGAGATTATGTTAACATTAGTATGGGATAAACTCAAGGAGAGAATGCAAGGCGTCATATCAAGTATTCCCAACAAAATGTGTGTAAAGGCACTAAATTGTAATTGAACCTCCGGTAGCTGGTATTTGTATACTGATCATGCTGGTGACCTGGTTTAGACAGTTCAGTAAATCCTGAATAAATGATTTCTCCCATACTAGTGTTAACATGACCCAACATTTCCTTTTCATATTTTAGCCTTGCATTTACACTTAATGAAAGTCTGCCCAGAGAGAGCCCATAGCTTGCCATAAGAAAGATGTCATCCGCATCTGTGGCATAGCGTTTAGGCACTTTGATGTCGCACACAGGAGACCGGAGTTCGATTCCTGAGTTGAGATAATTTTTATCGAGTATCTAGGTCTTTCTGCTGGGATGCTGCATCCCTCTCAACGTGGGTGGGCAGCCCACCACTTTATTGATCTAAATTGTGTCGATGTCGGATTAAAAACATCTGCATAAAAAAGAAAAACTAAAGAAAGGTTTAAATCCATGGAAAGTTGTCAAATATTTCAAATTTGACAAGTCGAAACGCATTGATTTTTACTGTGTTTTTTACGATAAATTTGAATGCTTCACATGCTTGAGAACAGAACTGTGACTATTTTAGTCTATTATATTGATACCTCAGTTCTCTGCATCAGAGGTGAAGATATGAGTCCCAAAAGGAATCATAGCTGTAACAAATTTGCTTTGATCACAATTAAATTCAAAATCTTTAGATCCTACATTCAAATCTAACATATGTGTCATGACGCGGTGGAATCGGGCGCCCGTCAAATTTCAGGCATATGCAGTTATTGGTAGCATCTTAAAGCCTGTCCATTTACCTTACTTTTGATGAAAAATATATCCATATATATGTTGGATACAAGTCAAGATATTGGTGATAGGAGATAGGGGTCGGCTGATTTCAGAGGTAAAATTAATTAGCAAGAAAATGGCCGCCAAAGTTGAGTTATTTCTTAGCTTGAGAGTCTGTGGAAACGCAGAATTTACATCTTTTATGCCTTTAATCAATGTTTTTCAGTAAAATCCACACAGAAACTTGTTTTTTAAAGGGCATGAAAGATTCTATAAAAATTCCCACACCTGCGGAAAAATGCCAGTTTCTTGACTTTAATTTTTTTGACCAGCGCCTGATTTCACCACGCTATCTCACATATGATAATCTCCATGGCGAAGTGTACAAAGCATAGATTTGTAAATCAATATGAAAACTTTTAGGTCAAAGGATGAAAATACTTTTTTGAATTAGCATCACTGGCTGTCTTCCCGCATTAGAAGCTAGGGGTATGAGAACCAATTTTTCCTTTACCTTCCATAAAGTATTTTAAAGAGAGGCACCTAGTGTGAGGATCGGCACAGAAATGTTTACAATCTGACCACACTGTCAGCAGTCAAGTGGTTAGGCCGCTGAACTTGCAACCGTAAGGTTGGGGATAAGAGCCCTGGTATGGGCAAGATTGCATCCTTAGGAATGACACTTGAGGCAAATTTTTTTTTACTCTGCTAAAGAAAGGGAAACACCTTATCTGTACATTTGTACTTAAGCACCTGTAAAATTGCAGCTTGCATTTAATGCTTAACAGAATGTTGAAAATGTTATAGGGTCAGTCAGAATAGAGCCTTCTCTCCAGTAGGGATGTTGTCTATATAAATGGAATCTAACAATTCATTTTATTATTCGGCGGTAGAGAAGGAAAGATATACCATGCGTATAAGATGAGCTTGAATTCTCTCCTCTGTTTTTTCATTTTGTACACGAGCCTGAATCTGAGAGATAAACTTCTGTTTGGCCATCTCAGCTTCCACATCTTGATGATCCTTCCTGCAAATCAAAAAGAACAATAGGATGAAATCCTGATAGATAAAAAAAACCTTGTACTGATATTGCAGTTATAGTTTTACAGTACAGCAAATTAACACAGTGAAAGACACATTTCAGACAAATTAAACGAAATCAATTTTTGTAGTGTATATATAGCCAGTGGTTATTTATGGTCTACCCAAAGACAACAGAAGGAGAACAGCATGAAAAAGCGCAATATGGTGAGTAGAAAAAGACAAAAATTCTCCAAGTCCACACACAAAATCTACTTTATCCACATTTCCACTTTGAGAGTGAGTCTAATTTTTTCACTAATTTTCTCTCTTGCTTTGTTTATTATCCTTTTTGACCTGAGCGCACACATCTGATTGTGCTCTAACTTTACCCCTGACTCAGTGCACTGAACACACTACAGCGTGCAGTGGTGTAAAATCAACCCGTCCACCGTGAGGAGCTCAGGAACCCTAGTCCAGTAAAGCTCAGGGGACCAGTGTTCAAAGAGTTAGCAAAGCTTATGTACAAATAAACAGAACCAGTTTTTTAAATAGTTTCTACTTACACAAAGCGCACAGATTTTTCAGCCTCTTCATCCAAAGTTTTTGCTTTCTGAGAGCAAAAAGAGAAAAATAATATTTTTAACAGATATTTTCAACACCCAGCAAATTGCTTTCACAAAATTTACCAACATTGTTATATATTGATGTTTAAAGGTACAAAGAGAATATAACAACACTGTGCCGAAGGCTATGAAGTGTGAGAGACAAACACTAATTGAAGAAAATACGGTGTTTAAAAAAAATACCTTTTCCTCGCACTGAAATTACAGACTTAAATATAGTTCAGGATTAACTTTTCAAATACCCGGTACACCTGAACCTACTCAAAAGACCACCTATCCAAGACACTCAATTTGTAAAAATGACCACTTTCCACTTCCACGCTTGCATTTTTCCCATATTATAATGACACTGTCCAAGAGGACCACTTGTATAATGTGACCAATTTTCTCCTTGACAACAGGTGGAGGTCTTAGACAAATTGACAGTAGTTACTTAAAAAAAGATAATTGAACTCCGTCATACATCCCATGTTCTACAGTAGCTCCTAGATCCGTCCTGTCGAGCCTGCAAGGAGGAGGATGAAACTATGGACCATGTGTTCCTGAGATGTCCCGCCAGCTATCGTGCTAGAACCCGTCTGCTGGGACATTTCAGTAACCCACTTTCAGCACTTTTTAAGGACCCTCGGGCGAGTGTTGAGTTCCTGCGTGCTGTCGGCATCGCTGACCGTTTCTTCTCCTCATGCTAATCACTGTCAACTTTAATTGTCTAATAAGAAACAAAAATTCGATAAAAATTGCCAAACTGGCAGAAAAATGCCATTTTCTTTAATTTCATTCATTATTTTGACGAGCGTCTGATTTCATCACGCTGCCTCACTTATGGAGAAACTCAAAGACATGATTTCCCCATGAGGGAATCAACTCATGTCCTCCGCAAGCAAAAACAAAAAGCTTAACTATAACACCACAGGTACAGATCCAGTTTCTGCCATCCATGACCCAACACGCATCATGAAAGGGATGGAATCATGTTTGTGGAAGGCCAGGAAGCAACAGGGGAACACTCAAACCTCCATCATCTAGAGTCAAGTACTCACCTTGTCCAGCCGCTGACACAAGTTGTCCACTCTCAGTCTGTCCACCAGTGCTGAGCTGACTCCGTAGTGTTCAAGGACCTGATGTTTTGCTGACTCAGCTTTTGTATGAAGCTCAGTTGTTCTGGTTGAGGCAGAGGTTGGCTTACTTTCTGTCCAATTAAAAGAGAAAAATATATATTCATACTTCCAGAAAAAAACACTATATATATAAACATTTCTAACCCTTTTTTGCTCCAACTTTCCATTACTATAAATAAAACCAAAAACAAAATGTTTATTACTTGTCTAGCACCAAGTGCTCTGCTTCCAAACAACATATTCTTTTCCTGAAATATATGATACTTTAAAAAAAAAAAAGAAAAAGAAAAGGATATTACGGTTGAGTGGTGGGTAACTGCTTGAAAGACGAAAGATCCTACAACCTTGTCAGAAAAGCACGCAATGTCAGATGTTAGGGGGTTTAAGTCAGGAGTGGTAAAAAGATTTAAAGAGCCTGCTGTTGACTACCATAGAGCTCAAATAAAGCAGATGATCAAAGAATAAGATGAAACAATTGATATGTCATTTGAAAAGACACTTCATTCATGATTCACTTGATCAACAGAGCAGAATAAAGACCTGAAACTAGTTGGAGTTGTCCAGGTAAACCTTTCTGAACAGTGAAGATCTGCTGCTAGAAGCCACACATCAGAGAATGAGCAGAACTTTTGAAAATTCAGTAGCAATGTCTTCGTAACAGTGACCAATGCCTGCTTCCAGAGGGGGTTGCTGTTAGGTAGACACCACTGTAACAAAAACAGTGGCGACTGACAGTGGCATGGTTGTAAACTGTTCAGTATTTGTGTAATATTGTGTATTTTGTATGTATGTATTTATAATTATGTATTCATGTATGTATATGTATGTTTGCCATTGTAAATCAAAGTGCCCTCCTGGGACAAATAAAAGTGTAATTTATTTATTATTATTTTTATTTAATTGCATAATCAATATCCCTGCTCAAAAGTTGTCTCCTTGCACCACACAATTTACCATAACCACGACAGCCCAGATAATTTTCATGTAAAAACACTTGTGATTAAGCAGATTTTTATTCTCCTGAGAATTCCTGAAACCAATCGCTCTGTGCATTGAAGGACCATTAATTAAAAGTTTTATCTAACCTGTTTCAGCTTTGCAACGCTGGATCATTTTCTGGCAGAATGACATCTGGTCTTTATTGTTCTCACCAACTGGGGAAAAAAAAAATCACAGTCTAACGTACTGAATGCCTGATAAGCTGTTTAATTATCATCGTCCCATGGCTGAAAGTGTGAAGTCTGTATGCTTTTTTTTTCAAAGCAACAAAAAGAATGCTCATTTCTTAGGTGTCATTATTTTCAGAATGGTACAGCAAAATAACACAGCATAAGAAAGCCTGTCACATAGGTGAGCAGATCAAACCTGGTCTTTTTTTTTAGGTTTAAGCTGACCAACTTGAAAATGAAATCTTGCCAGTTAAGATAATTCTCCTGCGTGCAGATATTGTAGAAAATTGTAGTTTAGAGATGTGAGCACAATATCAATAATGATAAAAGATAATACACTGCTTATCTATTCCTTAGGTCTACCCACAAACAGGTGTAAGACAAGATAAGTAACAAGACTGTTTGTCCTTGTCTTGATTAAACAACCAATATCACTCTTATTTGTGGTCACTTTCAAGTGGATCAGACTTGCAAGACACAGACAAAAATGGAGAGCATGTTTTCACATAAATTGCCTTGAGATTAGGGACCTCCCTTGCATGATACCTGACCCTTAATATGGTAAAAAAAAAAAAAGAAACTAATTACCCGTAGCTTTGGCCCCACTCCTGTGGGTGGTTGAGGTAGAGTCTAGAGCCAGACTGCGTGGGCTGTACACAGAACCCAGACGGAGTCGTCGCATCGTGGCCAGGAGGAAGTCTTGTCTCGCCTGCTCCATCATCTCCTCATCCATGGAATCGGTGAAGTCAGTGTCATCATCCTGTGCGGAATTGTTATATATATATATACGGAGATAGAGTACAGGAGAAAAAAAAAGATCAATGGCTTTGTAGTCTTATTCGTTTTGTTTTGACACCTGTTTCTATGAGATGGACAATAGGTGTGTCATTTATGTACTAGATAATATGACATTTGCATTCTGATGACTCTCTACTTAATCCTGGTACTGTTAATTACGTCAAAGAAAATATTTGTAGCCTTAAGTTGTAAAGTCTTTAGCAAATTACCATACTGTGCATCTCTTTCAACCATTTAAGTTATTTTCAGGGGAGGGACAGAACAATGAAAATCACAGGTCTTATTCTAAACAGACCAAATAATATTCATAACTCGTACACATCAAGCATCAAAATCAACTTTTAATGTGTAATCTGAGATTCCTTTAAATAATGACCGCTGAAGTTGAATCTACGGAAGCACTTATAATAATAATAATAATAATAATAATTTTATTATTATTGTAATAATATGATTTTTGTTTTTCCCTTCAACAGGATATTGTAGAAAATTGTAGTTTAGAGATGTGAGCACAATATCAATTATGATAAAAAATAATACACTGCTTATCTATTCCTTAGGCCTACTGATTAGAAAACACTATGCACTGTACAATACATTACTACCCCAACAGACCCTAAATATTTTGGAACATTCTCAGTTTACTGGGAAGCGTTCAAAGTCAAAGCAGAAGACACATTACATAAATTTTCCTCTCTTCATTCTGGAGGGAAAGGGTACCCAGTTCAGACAGGGAATGATCTTGTCGGTATGTTAGAGTTTAAGGGCCTGTAAAATGGGAGCAACAACACAGCGTCCAGCACTGACTGGTTATGATTGATAATCCAGCAGTCGAACCACTAGACTACAGACAATGGTATGCAAAGACAATTTTGGTTTAAATTTCTACCTACCTGTGCACGAGCAAAATAATTCACATCTGCTTGAGTCACAAACTCACTCTCCTCAAGCTCTTCAATGCTGCAGATAAAACAAATTTAACAAATGCAAGAGCGGTAAAAAAAATCTCAGAGAAAATGAAATGATGATATTTTTGTGAAATCAGATTGAATGAATCTTTTCAGCTTGCGGTTACACTCTGTCGATCAAGGTGAAGTATTTCCAGTTCATTTACTTTCAACATAAGTGCATAGGCGTTGTTTATAAGAAAACTTCTGTGTTGAGATACTAAGTGTCTGTATATATATTTCATTGTATGAGAAAAAATAAAGAGAAACACAGCTGTATACATGGTGAAACAATGCATTGTACATCTTAATCAGACCTTGTGTTCCTCTTACCATTTTTTGTGACAAAAATATGGTTCTGACATTTATTTAATTTATTGGAAGCCTGGGCATTCAAATGGTGAAAGAACACAGTTTTGCAAAGAATGTCCAAAAATGTAGGAGAATGGTTGCGAAATGGGAATAGGCACTGAGTTTTGTCCTTAATAGCCTAATAAACATTGTTAATCATTAAGTGCAAAATATAAATGTGTCACAACGCGGTGAAATCAGGCGCTCGCTAATTTTTAGGCATGTGGAGTTATTGGTATCATCTGAAAGCTTATTCATTTGCCTTGCTTTCAATGAAAAAAAATCACCAATCTATCTTGAATAAAGGTCAAGATGTTAGCGATGGAAAAAGGTGAGGTCGACTGGTTTCAGTGGAGAAATTAGCAAGAAAATGGCCACCAAAGTTTGGTAATTGCTATAGAGTCCTTAAAAACTTTAAAATGATATATTTTCCGCATTTAATTAATCGACATTTTTCAATACATGGAAATATGTGTTTATAGAGACATACAAGGGGTTGAGCCATAAAGCTAAAATTTGATAAAAATTGCTTAACTGGCGGAAAAATGCCTGTTTCTCCGATTTCGTTATTTTGACGAGCGCCTGATTTCACCAAGATGCCTCACAAATGTTATCTCAGATTAGTCCAAATATGAGAGTACACTGCAATAAGAGACCATTCCTCTAAGCTTTATAACGGAAAACTCAAATTGTTTATTATGTCTGGAGTGACTACTATCAAGCCACTGTAATATAAGCTTCTCATCAGCAATAAAAGAAAAAGTCTTCCTTTTCCCTTTTAGAAATAATTGCAACTTAAAAAAAATGATCTTAGGCAAAGTACTTACTCTTTCACGATCTCAGTCACATCTTTCCATTCTCTGTACGTGGCACTGCCACTGCGAGAGGAGAAGACATCAGAGGAGCTGATGCTCTCCGTGTAAGAAGAGTACTCACTCTCCGTCTTTGTCTCATCCTCTGACTCCAGTTCAATGAAGGTGCTCGATCCATAACTAACTGCACTAGGAGCAGTGGGATCACTAGCAGCAGGACCTGAGTGAGCTGCAGGGAACGAAGAAAGACTACATTTCAAAGTAACAACGTATTTGTAATCAACAAAGCATGACCTAAAACAGGGAAAATGTGGCAGGTATTTAGCTGATTTGTTGAAAAATACAATAAAATGACATTTCTAATCAGCATCAGCAAGTTCATGAGGAACAATACTAAAAAAACCGGAAAATACATATTTTCTAAAACAAATACAGATTTTCATACTACTTAAAACGTAATATAGTAGAGTCCATGAATCTCGAACATGAAAATCACCAATTTTCAGGTATCTCGAACATAATGCTTGGTCCCGTTTCAGTCAGTATGTTTTCTTTGTATTGACTTCACAGAGTTCCTGAACATTAAGAACACGCAACATTTGAATCTCGAACAAATCCACTTCGCATCCTCATCTAAAGACCCAGCTTTACTGCCTTTCTGACCGCGGGTAGGTGTTTCTTAGTTATTGCTACAGCCAAAATGTGGTCCTTGCCTCGCCACGAGAGGTTGGAGGAAGGGGAGACGGGGAAGGGGGGTTGGGAGTGATGCTGACCGCATCGCATGATTGGCTTGCCAAGAGTGCAATCACACGGAGGGATTCTCGCGTGGTGTGGATAGCAAGAGGTGTAACTTTCTGTAAGCCAATAAAATGAGAGGAAAGGAATGACGTAAAAGTCTAGGAGTTGGCTGTGCACACGTGAGATTTTCTGCTTTCCACTTTAATTCATTTTTTTGCTTTCACACCGTCAGAACGTCCATTAAGGGAGCTAACCACATTAATGGTTTTAATGTTCTTTGTCACCTGCTTTGATTTTCTCTATATTATTTCTTTGTATTTGAGGCCTTTCACGGACATGGCGAATTATGAAAATCTCGAACACTGTTTCCAATCCCCGAAGAATTCGAGATACTCGTGTTTGACAGTATGTTTATTTATAAACCGGTTGGCAGCTGGAATAAGGTATTCTGTGAACTAAATTTGACATTTATTCAAACAGATTTTTCTGATAGGCTCAAAGCTTTCTGTGAAAAGGGGCAGACAAGTATATTATAGAAAATTATGTATGAACAAACAAAAGAATTTCATAAAATCAGTATGTCGATCAATCAGTCTAATTGCATTATTTCAACGAATGAGCAATACAGTAAGGAAAACTGGTTTCCCTAAGAAAAGTACATGAGACCACCAAAACTGTTTATCACTGAGTACATCCTGGGTTACCTTCTCTTAAACACCACTAAATTTCATAGAAAACCCTTTTTTTTTTAAATGTATGTGTTTTTATGCCCCCATCAACACAATTTAAATAATCTAAGAAGCCGGCTTCCAGCTCTGCCTGTCAGGGTCAGCCTAGGCCATGAGGGATACGTCATCCTAGCAGAAAGATCAAGATACTACAGTCGAACCTGCCATGACGGCCACCTTATTTTATCAACCCACAGCCAAATTTACCTGCCTCAGGTGGTTAAGCGTGGTCACTCATTGCCCGACGCTTTGTCATAACTTTTGAATCGGCCCATCACGCTGTGGACGGGCCGTCATAATTCATTCACCTCTCGTTATTGTTTGTCCCTCCAATGAATGTTTACCCAAGTTGACCAATGGGTAGGCCTATCAATAAATTTTCAACAGCTGGTGAGGGAACCGTGATCCGTCATAACCTATAAGATCTGCCCACAACTCATACACAAATGATGTGTGAGGTGACTGGTCACCGTTTTGTTCACCTAATCTGTAACAAAGAAACATGGGACGTTGAGGTGAACTTGCGACACAAGCGTCCCTCGTTCTCTGAGTGTTGGTGACCCGGGTGTCTGTTTTACGATGGCACTGGGTCTTGTCTCCGCTTAGACCTACATAATAAATAGTTTATTTTACCTTTGCAAAAAATCAGCACACACAAAAACAGAAAGCTAACCAAAAAAACAACAACCAACAAATCAACACACAAAAAACCCTTCTTACACCACCCACCCCCTTTTTTTAAAAAGAAAACAAAAAATTTTAAGCCTGAGATCAGCCTCAGTTTGGACCTCAGAAGAAAATGATTTGCTTTCTTCGTTTTGATCAGTCCTGCCTAAGACGGCCACCTGTGTTATACGGCCACTTTTCTCCTTGACAATGGGTAGCCGTTTTACACAGGTTGGACTGTATTTCTAACCACTACACCACAGATGCTGATACCTTATCAAACATGTCAATCCTTTCATGTTTTGAGCTGAGAAAAAATGATTAAATGTGAGGCATCGAGGTGAAATCAGGCGCTCGTCAAAATAATGGCCCGTTTGGAAATTTTATCAACTTTTTTTTTTTTACTCAACACCTTTAAAGTCCATTCAAAAACATATTATTTCGGTGTGGATTTTACTGAAAAATGTCGATTTAAGGTAGAAAAAATGTAAATTTGCAGTTTCTAAGGACTCTCAAGCTTTATAAGTCTCCAAACTTTGATGGCCATTTTCTTTCTAATTTTACCTCTTAAACCAGGCGATCCCCACCTTCTTCAATAGCAAATATCTCGACTTCTATTCATGATATAGGAGTATTATTTTCACCTAAAGCAAGACAAATGAACACGCTTTAAAACTATACCAATAACTCTATATGCCCAAAAATTGATGAGCGCCTGATTCCTCTGTGCCGTGACACAAATAACCTTGCAATTGGTTTCAAGTTCAAAAGGACTTAATGATCTCAGCTGACCTGTGGAAGTTTCCCCGTGAGTTTCTGGGATGAAAGTGTCTTCACTATACAGGTGTTCTGAGGGTATCCATGAGATCAACTCTCGGCTGGTTTGCAAAGAGTCTGCAGCAGAAACTTCACTGCTTGAAACCATGTCATCTTCATTGGCAAAGTGTACGCTCTGGGAGAATGAAATAAATGTCTTCATGACTTAGAGAATAAAGGTAAATAGCTTGATTTATCAGGGTAATAAATCAGCAAGTAACAAGATTATGAACAGGTTGAGTTTCATGCTTTCTTTTTCTCTGTCCCTCCCTCTGCTTATGTACAATACTGTTAATTTAGATTCTGCTTGTTTTGTTCCTGGTGAAACCAGAAAAGCAATACGTTGAAGAATTAGATAAATATAGTCAAAATTGTCAAAGACAGCCACCTATTGTGGGCAGAGCAGAAAAGTTGTTGTCTTTGCTCAGGTGGCCATTAGAGAGGGTTCAACTGTAACTATGACATCTACATATTAACGCCCAGGTTTCCTTGTTTTTAACTACTTTTCGACAAATATACTGAGGAGATGTCAAAAATCAATACAAAAGAAAACCCAACAAAAGACACCCAAAACGTTTCTACCATAGGAGAAAGAACCCTCCCCCCAGACAAAAAAAAAAAAAAAAGAAAAGAAAAAGGAACAATAAGATGAATTTCACAATGAAACCCTGTCAATTTCCCTTAAAAATTGTCTAATTAAAAGATTTAGCATTTACTAACAAACATACGCACACACACACACACACACACACACACACACACACACACACAAACACACACACACAGCATATAAAATGTTCATACCTTTTCAGTTTTCTTTTCCCTGATTGTCTCTGTGACAGATTTGGCAAAACGATCATCATTATCAACAAAGAGTAAAGTGTTTGCAGGCTGATCTGACACTTGCTTCCTCGGTGTTGACAACTGTCTCTCCATGACTCCTTTTCTCACTTGACTCTTGGATTATCTCTATGTTGCATTCAACATTTCTCCTGCTTGTGTAGCATTATAGTATGATGTAGTTAAGGTGCTGGTGAATATATCTACATACTTCTTGAACGCAGATTGAACCACATGGTAAAGGGCACATTCACCTTACCCACGAGAGTCAAACAAAGGTACAATTCACTGAATTTCCAGAGGTCTTTTTTCTCTTTTCATTAGTATTGAGAAACGAAGAAACCAGCTCCAGGGACTTGTCACAGTATGAAGAGACACTCCAAGCTGTTCTTAGGATTGAATTAGGTATCTGTTGATTTTAAAGAGATTAAACCACACATGATTAGATGGTACATTAAAAACACCATAGACTGTGCATGTAAAGATGTGAGCTATGTACGTATGCCTCTATGCAAACATAAGATATTATTATTACAAGCATTCCGGGCAAAAATCCAGGTGGAAGGTTTCTACAGCATTTAAAAGGTTTAAAGCTGGGGCGATACTTCTTTTAATAGCAAGCCCATCGTTTTTGTTTTTCTAATGGCAACATATTATGATTATTGAAAGCATATATTGAGAGTCTTTAGTGCAAAGAAAAGTGTTAATTACAGAATTAATTTCTTGTAGCAAGTTTTGCGACTAAAAAGTGTCATTGGTGAGCTGTGACGTAGGATATATTGTAGAGCAAAAGAAATGACACTAACATAACCTTCTAGCTCGTAAGACAAACTTGTACTGGTGAAATAAATGAAGAAAGATAACACACTCACAACAGTGAGCGATGACTCATTCCCCGGCGATATCAGCCGTGCGGTTAGCACGATGTCATTGGGTGAGTATAGAATGAGTACGTATGTGTGAGGGTGTTAGTACGATGTCACTGTGTGTGTATAGATATATATATATGTGTACGTGTGTGTGTGTGTGTGTGTGTGTGTGTGTGTGTGTGTGTGTGTGTGTGTGTGTGTGTGTGTGTGTGTGTGTGTGTGTGTGTGTGTGTGTGTGTGTGTGTGGGTGTGTGTGTAAACCTGTATGTATGCTGTCGCTACACAGCTCCCCCCCCCAGCAATGACGTAGTGAAGAATTGAGGAGGTTTGATTTGAGGTCCTGACCTGGTGGTGGTGATATCGTTATCAGATGCTTTATTCTTATTTGAATTCAAGTGTGCGTGCTTAGTGCTCTCATGTTCAGTTATTGAATATTTTGGATTGCAATGAGATGCTAGTGAGTGTGCTGAAGGTTGATTTGATAAGGTCTGCCTCGCCGAGGTGGTGATTCCAGCAGTGGTACTGGTTGAGTCGTGTCGACATAAGCTGGTTTCAGGCGATCGACAGAAACACATTCTTCCCCGTTTCCGATATGTATTTGGAATGTCTTATCTCCTCAACAAATATCTTTGCATGGACCGTGGTATGGTCGCTGAAAGAGACCGCGGTGAGAATCATGGCGAATATGGCGTTTTTTAATGAAGCGGGAAAATGAGATGTTGGTTGTCCATGTTGAGTCGTAGGAGAGGGGGAAAATGACTATACGAATGATCATGTGTTTGCTAAGGGTTCAGTTGCTATGTGTGTTGATGTGTCCACAAGGACAAATTGTTCTTCCTGGCAACCACAAAAGCAACACGTTTTGCTGACCCTTAAAGGCTTTTAACATGATGCTGTATAAGACAGGTCTGTATGACCATCAACAGTGCCGATGACCAAATCAAAATTTGTGTCTTGAAAAATCTGTATTACTGTATACGGGAAAACTCAAATGGTCCCTCAAAACATTATTGTCAACGAAAGGTGCATTTGTTTTATTCTTTGCAAAAAATGTTTCCCGTTAGCTGGGACCAATGTTTGGTCCAGTTGTCACTTTCAAAATCTGACAAATGTGCTCATTATCAAAGGGGGAATTCTTCCCCCAAATCATTGCCACTTTCTGAAATACCACAAAGTGCCATTGAAGACATAGTGCACAATGTTTCTTGCACGAGACACCAGAATTAAATATTTCTGTGCCATGCTTTGACAAGTCAGGTTTTCCATTGGTTACTTTTTTAACAACCCCCAAATAATCGCCAGTGACCACATTTGACCCAACTCAACCAACTTCAACCACTACTGGAGAACTCTAGGCGGTGGCTTCTTGTCCTGCTCTTTCGGTTCCAACAAGTTCTCTTGATGCTACGTTGCAGTGTGACATCCTGTAGTTTCTGTTGATCATGCTGATGTCACAACTGACGTTACTCCGGCTCCAGCTGTTGGCACTATATTCCCTTTGCGACACCTAGTGACACAGCCGATATCCCCTCAGCATCTTTTAGTGACACTGCCCTTCTTGTATCAGACATTGGCACTAGGGACTCAGCCAAAGACCCATCAGTATCTAACTACACGCGCCAACTGCAGAAGCTGTTCCTGCCGATGAAGAATTATCTATCCTGACCCCAAAACTGGGGGAAAGAGGTGTTGAAAATTGACAGGGAAGCAAACATTTCTCAGGGAGTCAGGACAAAGTTATGTCTCTGCCAAGGGTGCCCAATGACGTCATGACCCGAACACCAACTTCTGGAACCTTGCAACCGCATCTGCAAAGGGTTGGGGTGCAATTCTCTTTCAGACGAAGACAAAGCAGTGACTTTTGACTATGTGTGGTCACTATCATAGGAGAGTTTAAAAAAACGTACGTCAACTGTCTAGTTGACAGGGTTGATGTGATGAGGAAGTGGAGAACTTCAGAAGCATCAATAGGGTCTTTCTTCCTTGCTCATATCAGTACTTCATAAAGGAAGGTGGAGTAAAAGTTGTGTTAGCATGAAAATGTTTACCATTACCCTTGCTTTAGGGGACTGGACAATTCGAAATTCCAATGATTCTTTAGGGTCAGATTCAGAGCTGCTGAAGGCAGATTCACCCTCCTGATTAAAGCAGTGAGAAAGTGTTCTTGTAGATGAATTGTTTGGAATTTTACCGAAATTCTGTCTTACTATTGCCGAAAAACCTCGGCAAAGTGTTATCAGGGGTCCCATTTTTGTTCCCTGATGGAGTACCGGTATTAGGAAAGGTGTGAGACACTGGGTCGCAATTGCCTGGGACTAACGTTCAAAAAGTCGTTTCATAACAACAATTTGGTGTTGCATCATCCCCGAAAGGGCCTGTGTGATGTATGAGTCCCACAGGGTGGGAAACATGGACAAAAAGACAATGAAACAGCACATGAGGCTGAAGGAAAGAACCTTTGCGGAGAAAGAGATGGACAACAAACTATCTCTTGAAGGTTCAGCTGACGGTGTCAGGACTGTTGCCATCTGTATGACCTTGGAATTTGTGCTTTTTGTTCCTTCACTTCAGACATCTCTGTCATCTACAGCTTGAAAGAGGAACATAAGTATCTAGTTAAAGGACATACATGAACGTCGATTCCTGCCATAGCCTGATAGAACTAGCATCAAAAGGTGTTTCTATCTTCCTGCCAGCGATCTACTTTAGCATTAAGGGCAAAGCCAGGCGCAACCCCAGTCTCTTTCAGATCAGTACCTTGATCACACATTTTTCAAGGATTATTCCAAAATAGGATCAATCAAAAGTGGAAAAGGTGACCCACGTGTTGGGGACATAATTTGTCGTCTTAGGTATACGTCTGATCAGAACAGATCCTTCAAGCTGACGTTTGATGAAGGGTTTGAAGGATTATCCTTGAGACAGGGAGTATCAAAGATAGCTACTGAAAAACCTGGAACTCTTAAAACAGAGGCATTGAAATTCAAACACCTCCAGGGACAAAAAGCTGTTATGCCTAAAGACTATAAATCTATTCTACAATAATATATGTGGATTTTAAAAATCATTTCAACTGCATCTGAGACAGGAAGCGAGGAGAAGGAGGAGGAGGAAAGAGATAAAATAAGAGTATGAGATTAAGAGAGAAAGACAGACAGAGAATGAAAGAGAGGGAGAGAGGGGAGGGAGAGAGAGAGAGAGAAAGAGAGAAAGAAAGAGAGAAAAGGTGACCACTGGATATATTAAAGAGATCAGAGTAAATCCTATGTAATATAACTTTGAAGTTGTTGTCAGCTCACGGGTAAACTATTCATTGGTGATGCTGTTGTTGTTGTTGCTGTTGCTGCTGTTGTTGTTGTTGTTGTTTACAGTGTACACTGACTTGTGTGTGCGGGGAAGGGTGTTGTGGAGTGGGATGGAGGGAGGAGGGAAGGGTGTGTATGGGGGGCGGGAGCGAGAGAGAGAGAGAGAGAGAGAGAGAGAGAGAGAGAGAGAGAGAGAGAGAGGGGGGAAGAATAAAGAAACAAGAGGGAGGAATGGAGAGAGAGAAAGACAGAGAGGGAGAGAAAAAAAAGAGAGAGAGAGAGAGAGAGAGGAAGAGAGAGAGAGAGAGAGAGAGAGAGAGAGAGATTTGTAGAAAGGTACATCACCAGTATTTCCTAATTTATTATGTTGCCTACGCAGGTATATATCTACCCAAGCTCCCAAAGTGTTCGCCTCTCTCTCCAATGTTGAACAATTTGTTCTATTCATGACGTTTTCTATGACATTTGTTCTATTTATGACGTTTTCTAGGACATTTGTTCTATCAATAATGATTTCTAATTTGTTATATTTATGACAATTTCTATGACCTGTCTTATTTATACGATTTCTATGACATGTGTTACATTTGGATGATTTCTATGACTTGTGTGTTATTTGGATGGTTTCTATGACATGTGTTACATTTATGCTGACTTCAATGACAGATGTCTACTGTGACATATCAATGCTATTTGGATGACTCACATGTCGCGGCCGTCACTCATCGTTGTCGTGTGTCAAACGTTAGAAAACAAATCCAGAATATTATTATTGAGTTTGACAAGGTGAATCGATTGGTCCTAGTCTCAGCCTTCTTCTTGAAATACATGTAGTACCAGGTGTAAATGATTTCAGCATTCAGTAATCATAAAACGCTTAAAGGAAAACAGCTTTGTGTAATAATATAACATCCGTACGCCCTGGGGTAATTTTGTACCCCCGGGGTTGTATTCTTCACAATTTAGAATACTTCTAGTACTAAGATCTCTTTGAAACTTTCAGTATGTTTTAAAAACAGCATTTTGACAGACTGTTATGCATAGCGTACGGATCAGATCAACCCAGTAAATTTCCTCCGTGGAAAGTGGTGGCACAGAGTTCCCCACGTCGAATGGATACGATGGTAAAACATGATGTACGGATAGGATAAGGAAAACAATAAGTTGCCTGTCCCCAAAACCTGTCAGTTTGACACACGACAGTGACGACCGACGGCCCGACCTGCCTCTTTGGC